CATATCGTATAATAGTATATATAATATTATATAATATAGATTAATATAGAAGTATATAGTAGCCTTGGGATGTGAATCAGTATTCCCAGCTGGGGTCAACGCTTATCTCCTGACCCACCCGGCTTCCCATCCTTCGACCTCTCCAAGGGCTCCACTGCGCAGGTTGTGGAGTATCAGCTGGGCATAGGTTCCTCCGATCTTTAGATCTGAAGATATCTGGGGAACAAAAGTGATTTAATGGGATTTAACTGGGTAAATTATAATTTCACATTATTTCACTAACCTGAATAGTTCGGCCATAAAAGGGGATGATTTCCCTTACTAACTATGATTCCCAGTGAGGGAGAACAGTGAGGTCGTTATAATTTACCCAGATTTAACCAAGAAAAATGGCGATTGAATGGGATTTAAATGGATTACCCTCCGGAATACGAATCCATTATATACCCATTAAAATCATTAAAAATCATGATGTTCCATAGCAAACCAGAGGGTACAACGAACTGGAATTCATCATGAATCTTATTGTAGTTGTTTTTGTTTTTTTCGGAGGCGTTGAAGTATCTAAGATAATTGATAACCGCGGGTCCCAAAAGGAAACTAGTCCTCCAAACCCCCATGTGGAAGGGTCTATGGCTACAGCTTCCGAAAATGGCGGATCCTCCAAGTGCGAAAAGGGTCCCATGTCATCCCATGTCCCAAATTTCGGATCCAATTTTTCATGTTCTCTTTTCTTAGCATATTGGTTTCAGTACTTTTTGTACCAAAAACATCCAAAAACCGTTTTCAAAAACGCGTCCCCTTAATGGGTCCATCCCAAGGTTGCGCCGGCGCCGGCGGCTCCATCAAAAATGGTTCAAAATCCACCACTCCCCATTTTTTCAGCCATAGATTGGGGAGAAATCCGTGATAAATCCATCTAAATCCCTAATTAGCCCTAATTTTGAGAGAAGCCTGCGTGTGTTTCTGGAAGTTTTGGGCTCCACATGGGATGTACTGTTGGCATCGGCCGCATTTCGACCTAAAGATTCATTTCCCAAGGCATGTGGCAACCGACCAGGAGATCGCTTCTAGACTGCTTCGTTTTTTGTGGGGTTCCGGGGGTCCTTTTTGGACGTCAGATCCAATCACGCATCTGGTAAACTAACATAGCTATGGAAAACCACCATTTTTCATCGGCAAATCAACCATAAAATGAATATGAATGGGAAATGTCATGCCATTTCTATAGCTAATGTTAGATCACCAGAGGATACAGTAACCGTCTTGATCATCGATGGATATCCTTCGTCAGTCACGACCACCCCGTCCTGTTCAACAGCACTTTCATTGGTTGCGGAGCATCCCCAGTGCCTCAAGGATTGGATCTACTGGAACTCTGGATCACCTCCTAGGTCACTTGATGATTATGTAAATTATGTGTTTTTGTGATGTTATAGGAAAACATCTGTTTATGATATGTGTTTCACATAAATTATGTTTATGATCACTATGTCATTGTGTTTAAGTTTATCCTTGGTTGTATGATGTATTATGATGTTATAGTTGTCTGTGAATATTTGTTCATCTTTTTTCGACATCTGGGTCTCTTAGCTCACCGGCTAACCAAACGGTTGTCCGGGTCGGGGACCACAAAATGGCATCGAAATGTCCCCTGTTGGTATTTCAGGAATTTGCCATGCTATTCCCTGCAAATCACATTGAAACTACCCAATTGGGAGAGCGACAAAAACGAGGTTTGTTTGAATATATCAACAATATGTGATGTTTTATCATGGTTTATCATCATCTTCCTTATATTTTCCCATCAAAAAATGGACAGAACTGGGGATTTTTCATCCTCCATCTGTAGACGCACCACCGGTTGCATACCTGAGCCCGTTCCAGAGCTGGAAGAACTGTCTTGAACCTGGCCCAGCCAGCCACTGAAGGATTTTTTCACTGCTGGGAAGGGGCCTCGAACTAAATGGAGACTTCAATGGGAAAATATGGGAAGATCATCTATATATGGGATTTAAAAGGAGAATCTCTACACATTGAGACTATATAGCTGGGAAAATCATCAAAATATATAAATGGATATGAACGGGGGAAATTCCAGCAATTACTAAAGGCTAGGGAAAAGAATCTATGTGGGCATTGGACATTACGGAAGATGACAAGAAATTCCACCAAAAGATCGAGATATCTAGATCATATCCACCAGACCAAAGAGGCAAAAGTTGCGCTCAAGCTGGATGGCTCAACTTGTGGCCATGCAACCTGATGTGTTGGGTGGTCTCAAATTTTAACATGATCATACTCAAAAGTAGGGAATGCCCCTCTTGTCTCCCCATCGTATCTCTGCAAAAATCTACATCTTTTGTTATCTCGCTCAAAAACTGGTTTGAGATCTGAGTCCAAATGGATTTCACTCCCAAGTATAGTTTACACATATTATATATATATATGTATACATATGTATGTATATAATATATGTATATAATATATTATATACCTATAGATACCTATAGTATATATGATGGAATAATCATCGTTCTTCGTCATCGCCGCACCTGGGTCTTGGCCGTGCTTGCAGCTCCTCCACCACGTTTGCCACGAGCACGGGCTCGCCTATCGCATCAGGTCGCGGAGGTGACGGGGAGGGGGTAGCGTCCCCCCAAGCATCCCAAGATAAAGATCGTATCACAAAACAGGAACCAGGGAAGGTGAAACATGAACAATGTATAAAAATATATAAAAATGTGGGGATTAAGCAATGATAGTGGGATTTAAAAAAAAATCAATGACCATTATGAAGGATATAGAAGTAGAGCGACCAGAGAAGATCATAGAAAGATGACGTCTTGATGGCTGGGATCTGACACTTTAGATTTGGAGGCCAGCTGTATGTAAGTATGCATGTGTACAATATATGTATATATAATTATATACACACTGTATGCATAATTACATATGAGCAATCTCGGAAACTCTAGGTTCACGAAAAGGACATCAACAATGCTGGAGCCACAAAAAAAAATCCGGCAATAATAAACACGTAAGGGGCACACATTTGTTTTCAGAGATTGTACAAGCATGAGGTCAGCGATGGGACCTTCCCATATATGGATACCCCCTTTGAAAGTTATGTCATATCTGTCGTTCTTGTACAAACGTGTGGTAAGCGACGGGATGTTTCATACATAAAAATATAACTAACGTAACAAAGAGTTGGTCCCTAGTCTGCATGACCAAGCAAAAATGAGTGTATCACCGACAAACGGGTGTTGAAACTTGCAACAAATGAGCCGTGCTTTTTTTGAAATGTACAAAACGGAACTTCGTGGAGAGGCTACGCACGCCTACGCGGATTGCAGAGGGAGCATGGTTCCAAGAGTTCCATTGAGGGTACCTACGCAGAGGCTACGCGGAGGCTACGCGGAGGCTACGCGGAGGCTACGCGGAGGCTACGCAGGGCTGTGCCGACCACACTTTTTGCCTACGCGGGCGCAGGTGCAGTCAAACAAAAACGCAGCTCAAATGGGAATAAAGCTATGCTTGAATATCCTATAGAAAAACAGGAAGGACTGCGGAGAATCAGCCAAAAATTGGAGGTTAAGCAACAAGCAAGGAGACATTTCAGTGTTTTTAGGGCAGACAAACATGTAAAGTATTCTTCCAAAATACTATAAGCACGAAGAGTGGAGGATTAAGATTAAGAAAGGAAGCTGTAGAGACATGGAGAGACGATCGGCAGGACCGGAGGGAAAACAAACGACCAACAGGCTTTTACATGCTTGTACAAGTTACTTCACAGGAAAAAACAGGTCCTCACAGGTCTTTTTCGCTTCGTAAATTACGATTTTTACGCACTGCCTCTAGGTGGGTAAACTTAACCGTCACCCCGTGACGTCATGGCGCGCCTGGTGGTAGTGGAGTATGTTGTGGTGCTGCCATCATTGCCACTTAGAGAGCCAGTGGTGCTCCCGTTGCTCCCACCACCTGCTTGACGCGCGCCACCAGATCGACGTTGGAGGCTGGGGAAAGACGGGGAACTGTTGGAAAAGGAGAATTTACCATCTGGTAATTTAACATAGCTATTGAAAATGACCATTTATAGTGGATTTTCCCATTGAAAATTGTGATTTTCCATAGTTATGTTAGTTTACCAGAGGGTAAGCCATGTTGATTTCAAGATTGTTTGCTTACATCACATACAGATACTAAACTCGAGTTTCATTCTAGCAGTGAACAGTGTAATGCACTGTAATGCACTGTATATCAAAACCCGTTTTTCTACACTCACGGGAAAGTTGAAATCAACTGCCTGCAGAAAAGGGTCCTTTGGGACAAGAATATGGGCTCATGTCAGTCGGCTCAATGTTGGATTTAATGTTGGAGATGAGTTACCCTCTGGTGTCATCAAACATGGTTAGCTTGACAATCCCCCATTGATTCAGATGATAATTCCATCTCCCCTCCATTTAGTTTGGGGATTTCCATGGATTTCCGTTGCCATGTTTGATTCCCGGGAGCATAGATGGGGGTGATCTTCAGCAAACATAACTGGAGGGGACCAACGGAGAAAGGCTACCCCATTCCATCCACTGGTTGATCATCATCTTTATAAAATGACCATAAAATGAGGGTTAATCCCCGATGTCAGACTCACCCAAATATTGTCCCGTTGTAGTACCCCCCATTCTCAAAAAATAATGACTATTTCCCATGTTTGATCATCAAATTACCATATTTTATCTGCAATGTACCAAACATAAGATACGACTGGTCGGTTTCATCCAACAAAAAAAAAAATCTGGGACTGCTGAGTAGCCCAATGATTCTCATGAAAGTTGTTTGAAAACCACACAGCCTGCAGTCACCGACTCCCTCATAGTTGATTGATGGCAATTAATGTCAAGCAATATTAGTTGTATGATCTTATCAACAATATTAATCATTACATCATATTACCATCAATCAATTACATTAGTCAATGTTGATCACTAACACGTCAATCAACATTGAAGAAAATCTGTAGTCACCACGGATTCTCTCAGTCCCGCACTTGCAGTGGTCACTTGGCTTGTGTCACTCACTTGGCGCCCCATGTCCCCGTCCACGTTCAAGGCATCTTTCTCAGCCTGGCGATGATATGGAAAATCCCCTTGTCGGATCATGACAAAATATGGAGATTTCCAGAAATGGGGATCCCCAACATGGATGGTTTATAATGAAAAATCCTATTAACATTGATGATTTAGGGGTACCCCCATTTTGTTGGAAACCTACATATGGAATTCCAAGGCTATGTTGTTTACTGGAGGGTATCACATTCTCAGAGTTGTTGAATGTAGTTGTATCGCCTTGTTGTATTGATTCTATGTTCACAGTGTCTAGGTATTTTCATGGTTCATGTAAGTTCCTTAGTTTTACATTTTTTGTTGGTTCTTGGTCAAATCCAATTTCTTCTGCAATCATTCCCCGTGCCAAAAGCACAGAAGTGTTTTTCTTGGCCCAGAAGGGATGGGGTGTCAATCTACCCAGCATCATCTACCGCCAAATATCCTCATAGTTGTTGAGCAATGATGAATAATAAGGCAAAACCAATGCCATAAACCTGCATGAGTGATGTTTTGTTATTGGCTTTACGACATGGGTTGTATCCTCTATCTAATGAAATCCCCATGTTTCTACGTTAATTCCCCACGTGTTGCTGCTTTTTGCTGGCAAATCCACCATGTGTTGCTGGTCAAATCCCGATAAGTTTATGTGTTTTATGCAAATTCATCCATGTTTTCTCTGCTTGAATCAAGAAACACATAGTAATCACCATTTTGCATCCCGAATCCCCTAGTGTTTCTATGTCAAATCCACCTTAAATATCTTTCAGGAGTGGCCCCAGCAATTTTTTTCCAATCACCGCGGCACTGGCCTTGACTTCCTTCACTGACTCCGACTTCTCGGCCGCACGGACGGCCCTGGTTCCGCTCTTCTCGGCCTCCCTTCGTTTCTCCTGGGAGCAACGAGTGGAACAGGAATTAACAGGCTGGAGGATGGGGTAAAGGTCGTTTGAAGTTACGATATGTTTCGATCTATGCCATCCATGTTTGGAGGATTTTATGGGGAGGATCGAGATTTGGATGAGTTTTGCTCTGCAAAAGTTGGCGAAAACTGGAACACAGCTGGGACTCTCATGGATCATGACCTGCCAACTCGGTCCTGCGGTGCCACAGAGATTTGTTCCACTGGTTTTTGGTTGAGCCGGAGCTCCCCAAGACCATGGGCAAATCGGCACCTTAGAGCAATGACAAAACGCCACAGTCTAATCCTGGAGTCAAATAATGACTAATAACACGAATCCATGAGTTCAGAACATCCAAGTCTCAAAAAAAAACAAGACGAAAGTGGAAGTTTCTGGAACCTCCAGCATTTTCAGGTGGGGCACGCCTGTGTTTGGACTGAAATCATCCACAACTACAGGGTAGTTGCATTTGAATTTGATCTCAATGGAGATTTATAAAAATTTTCAAAATAACCAATCATCAAAATTATAAAAAAAAAATATCAAAGCTATCAAAATTTATCAAAGTTATCAAAACATCAAAGTTATCAAATCATCAAAGTTATCAAAAATTATCAAAGTTATCAAAACACCAAAGATATCAAATCATCAAAGTTATCAAATCATCACAGTTTTGAAATCATCAAAGTTATCAAATCATCAAAGTTATCAAAATTCATCCAAGTTATCAAAATTATCAAAATTATCAAACATAAAAGTTTTCAAACCATCAAAGTTATCAAATCATCGAAGTTGCCAAATCACCAAAAAATATCAAATCATCAAAGTTATCAAATCATCAAAGTTATCAAATAATCAAAGTTGTCAAATCATCAAAGTTATCAATTGAATCATCAAATTTGTACTGGTCACACTTAATGGAAGGTGTCCCAATGCTTGGCATGACCAGGCAGGCCTCCATCATCCCCAAAGAGGGGAAATGTGATTCTTAGTGGTTAGCTCGTCATTTTTGATGGCCAGAACTAGCAAAGAATATGACACTACTTAATTGAAACCAACCACATGAAGCTACGGTTCAATCATCACGGATCAAGAAAGAAATGCTCTTATTGTCTGCTTAGATATGAGAATGATATGATCACTCTCCAAGAAATGTCTCAGTCCGAGTTGCTGATCTCCATTGCGGCATTTGCCCTTCTCGTTCCAAATGCACCTCGTGAACAATTGGATACAAGGTTTCCAAACGCCCTAGTTGGATCACAAAAAGATGCATGTGACTCAAGTCATGGCCATTTTTTGCAATGGAAAAATGACGATGCAGCATTTGTGTCGTTTGGGGCTGTATGTTGGCAACCTACAGGTCATTACAGGTCCTATGGGGCCGGTTGGACCGCCTTTGGGGCTGTGTTGAGGCCTGTTGGACCGCCTTTGGGGCTGTATGTTGGCAACCTACAGGTCATTACAGGACCGCCTTTGCGGCTGTGTTGAGGGCTGTTGGACCGGCTTTGGGGCTGTATGTTGGCAACCTACAGGTCATTACAGGTCCTATGGGGCCGGTTGGACCGCCTTTGGGGCTGTGTTGAGGCCTGTTGGACCGCCTTTGGGGCTGTATGTTGGCAACCTACAGGTCATTACAGGTCCTATGGGGCCGGTTGGACCGCCTTTGGGGCTGTGTTGAGGCCTGTTGGACCGCTTTGGGGCTGTATGTTGGCAACCTACAGGTCATTACAGGTCCTATGGGGCCGGTTGGACCGCCTTTGGGGCTGTGTTGAGGCCTGTTGGACCGCCTTTGGGGCTGTATGTTGGCAACCTACAGGTCATTACAGGTCCTATGGGGCCGGTTGGACCGCCTTTGGGGCTGTGTTGAGGCCTGTTGGACCGCCTTTGGGGCTGTATGTTGGCAACCTACAGGTCATTACAGGTCCTATGGGGCCGGTTGGACCGCCTTTGGGGCTGTGTTGAGGCCTGTTGGACCGTGCATTACAGGCCTATGGGGCCGGTTGGACCGCCTTGGGGCACCTACAGGTTGGACCTATGGGGCCGGTTTGGGGCTGTGTTGAGGCCTGTTGGACCGCCTTTGGGGCTGTATGTTGGCAACCTACAGGTCATTACAGGTCCTATGGGGCCGGTTGGACCGCCTTTGGGGCTGTTGGACCGCCTTTGGGGCTGTATGTTGGCAACCTACAGGTCATTACAGGACCGCCTTTGCGGCTGTGTTGAGGGCTGTTGGACCGGCTTTGGGGCTGTATGTTGGCAACCTACAGGTCATTACAGGTCCTATGGGGCCGGTTGGACCGCCTTTGGGGCTGTGTTGAGGCCTGTTGGACCGCCTTTGGGGCTGTATGTTGGCACCTACAGGTCATTACAGGTCCTATGGGGCCGGTTGGACCGCCTTTGGGGCTGTGTTGAGGCCTGTTGGACCGCCTTTGGGGCTGTATGTTGGCAACCTACAGGTCATTACAGGTCCTATGGGGCCGGTTGGACCGCCTTTGCGGCTGTGTTGAGGGCTGTTGGACCGGCTTTGGGGCTGTATGTTGGCAACCTACAGTCATTACAGGTCCTATGGGGCCGGTTGGACCGCCTTTGGGGCTGTGTTGAGGCCTGTTGGACCGCCTTTGGGGCTGTATGTTGGCAACCTACAGGTCATTACAGGTCCTATGGGGCCGGTTGGACCGCCTTTGGGGCTGTGTTGAGGCCTGTTGGACCGCTTTGGGGCTGTATGTTGGCAACCTACAGGTCATTACAGGTCCTATGGGGCCGGTTGGACCGCCTTTGGGGCTGTGTTGAGGCCTGTTGGACCGCCTTTGGGGCTGTATGTTGGCAACCTACAGGTCATTACAGGTCCTATGGGCCGGTTGGACCGCCTTTGGGGCTGTGTTGAGGCCTGTTGGACCGCTTTGGGGCTGTATGTTGGCAACCTACAGGTCATTACAGGTCCTATGGGGCCGGTTGGACCGCCTTTGGGGCTGTGTTGAGGCCTGTTGGACCGCCTTTGGGGCTGTATGTTGGCAACCTACAGGTCATTACAGGTCCTATGGGCCGGTTGGACCGCCTTTGGGGCTGTGTTGAGGCCTGTTGGACCGCCTTTGGGGCTGTATGTTGGCAACCTACAGGTCATTACAGGTCCTATGGGGCCGGTTGGACCGCCTTTGGGGCTATTACAGGTCCTATGGGGCCGGTTGGACCGCCTTTGCGGCTGTGTTGAGGGCTGTTGGACCGGCTTTGGGGCTGTATGTTGGCAACCTACAGGTCATTACAGGTCCTATGGGGCCGGTTGGACCGCCTTTGGGGCTGTGTTGAGGCCTGTTGGACCGCCTTTGGGGCTGTATGTTGGCATTACAGGTCCTATGAGGCCTGTTGGACCGCCGTTTGGGGCTGTGTTGAGGCCTGTTGGACCACCTTTGGGGCTGTATGTTGGCAACCTACAGGTCATTACAGGTCCTATGAGGCCTGTTGGACCGCCGTTTGGGGCTGTGTTGAGGCCTGTTGGACCGCCATGCGGCTGTATGTTGGCAACCTACAGGTCATTACAGGTCCTATGGGGCCTGTTAGGGGCTGTATGTTGGCAACCTACAGGTCATTACAGGTCCTATGAGGCCTGTTGGACCGCCGTTTGGGGCTGTGTTGAGGCCTGTTGGACCGCCTTTGGGGCTGTATGTTGGCAACCTACAGGTCATTACAGGTCCTATGGGCTGTATGTTGGCAACCTACAGGTCATTACAGGTCCTATGAGGCCTGTTGGACCGCCTTTGGGGCTGTGTTGAGGTCTGTTGGACCGCCTTTGGGGCTGTATGTTGGCAACCTACAGGTCATTACAGGTCCTATGGGGCCTGTTCGGGGCTATATGTTGGCAACCTACAGGTCATTACAGGTCCTATGAGGCCTGTTGGACCGCCTTTGGGGCTGTGTGCCTGCAACCTACAGGTCATTACAGGTCCTATGAGGCCTGTTGGACTGCTTTTGGGGCTGTATGTTGGCAACCTACAGGCTCTACGATGCCTTTTGGACAGCGTTTGGCAGCCATCAATTTCAAGGTTGCGCTCTTTTCAGCCGTGTCAAATCTCTTTCTGTATATGCTGGCAGTGGGTGCCAGGGATTTGTTCAGCGGGTACATAAACCCTAAGCTCGGGAAAATCTCCTGAAGTTCTTGCGCAATCATCTACCATACCGTATGGTAGCCTCCAAAAATGCTACAAGATCTCCATTTTGATACGTAAGCCCAGTGCGTCTGGCTCAGCTAAGGGTTGCGACAGGGTCTTCTTGTAGAACATGTCGGTGGACCGCAAGTCATCTTCACCTCAGTTCGTCAGATATCATCCCAAATAGGTTTAAAAAGAAGTCTATGTTGAACTCATGTGGGGTAAAACAATGATAAGTAAACCATCCCCCAGGAAAATCACCATTTTTTGTTTAGTGGTATAAACTTACCATTCCCAGTCATAGGTGGATTATGGCATCGTATTTTAGCCCCAAAAAATATAGTAGAAAACATCTAGAAACACTGCGACCTCTTGTGGCACCTGGTGGAGAATCCCCTGGAAAACCTGGGGTAACCTGGGCGCCACACTGTGAGCAAAGGTACACTCCGCATCCGTGCATCCTCCACCTCCGAGACGTGTCAAGTTCTGAGCACGATAAAACCAACTGCTGGTCAAAAGAATCAGAAAACCACTCCCAGAAATAGGAAAAAAAAATGAGACTCCAGAAAACGCGGGTACTACCCGGTTTTGATGGTTAGAGAATCCAGAAAATATTCATGGTTTTCTGTGGAGTATAAAAGACCAACACAGTTTGTCTCACTGAGTTCTAAACCCTCAAAAAAATTGGCGCAAAGCCGCGTCTTTCGCAAATCTGGCGTCGCCTCAAATGGGGAGTTAGACGGCAGGATGGCAGGATCGGATGAAAATCGCTGGCTGGGGAGATTGGCAGATTGGGAGGATAGCCGATGGTTGCGAAATGTCCAAATGTTGCCGTCATCACTTTATTTGGAGCTGACGTCATCTATATATAGTCTATATACTAGCCATGAAGATCAAAATCATCCTAGACATCAGGACGGTTCAGGCTTCCTCACCACTCTCTGGATGGCTTGAAATACAAAAGTCCCCAACTCAGAAGTATGTGTTCAGCCTTCAGTGTGAACTTGGAAAGGGTTGGTCGCTTAGGGCCTAGTGATGGAAAGCTCATTGAAATATCTTTCCAGCTGTTGGAAGCCAATTTAAGGACCCCATTTTGCTCATCTGGATATGTCAAAAGTACATACGCCCCGAAATGTGGATGGTTTATGATAGTTTGATACAATGACTTACTGGTGCTAAACGTAGGGAATGGAGCAATGGCATGAACAAATTGATAGTTATGACTGGGACTTCCCCCATTCATGTGCCCAAAATGGTACCCTAAGGCCCTAAGGCTCCAAGGGTCACCGTAAGGGTCACCACGGTAAGGGTCACCCATCTCGCCTGAAGCTCAGCACAAGAGTGCGCGAAGGAGCAGTTCGCACCGAACTGGCAAGCTCCCTTCAAGTGGTACCTGGTTTATGAAAAAAGGCTGGGTCCCAAGGTTCATCGAGCAATACATGGAATATAATGGAATCTTTGAGCAAAAAAGGTGCTGGATTCTTCCAGCAAATGGACAGGGGATGACAAGAAAAACGAGGACCTCAAGCGCAGGAACAAGGGTTGACATGCTTAAAGTAAACACTTATAACCACCATGGATACCTTTATCAAACATGATAAGTAGAGAAACAGATAGTGAAGATCAAAAAAGCACAAGCAACACTATTGAATAGATCCATAGATCCATGGGGATAACTCCACCCCAGCTGGATATGCTTCAATGTGCCAACATTTGAAACATATCTTATGGATGGTTATTGTGCGTCCCCAAGGCGCGATCTTGGGGATTCAATCCTGGTTTCATGGTTCTTAAGATTCACCGAACAAAAAACATCTTAACTATCATCGTCATCGTCGTCGTCGTCATCATCATCATCATCATCATAATCACCATCATCATCATCATCATCATCATCATCATTCATCATCATCATCATCATCAGTATGTTATTGTTGTCATCACTATCATCAGCGTGTTATTGTTGTCATCAGTGTCATCTATATTATCATCCTTATTAGTCTCGTCAGTGTCACCATTGTCACTATGGTATTGGTATTGGTATCATCAATCTTTATCGTAATATTCATCATCATCATCATCATCATCTTCATCATCTTCATTCATTCATTCATTCATTCATTCATTCATTCATTCATTCATTCATTCATTCATCATCATCATCAGTATGTTATTGTTGTCATCACTATCATCAGCGTGTTATTGTTGTCATCAGTGTCATCAATATTATCATCCTTATTAGTATCGTCAGTGTCACCATTGTCACTATGGTATTGGCGTTGGTATCATCAATCTTTATCGTAATATTCATCTTCATCATCATCAGGAGTAGTAGGAGTAGTAGTAGTAGTAGTAGTACTAGTAGTAGTAGTAGTAGTAGTAGTATGAGTATTACATATTATTACTATTAGACTCTATGATATACCAAGAATCTATCCATTACTATTTACCACAGGGCACAAGCAGAACTTGGTCTTGTGGAGTTGCGAATGGAGACACGTCTGCCGCGGCTTCTCCTATATCGATGTCGTCATGGGTCAATAAAAATGAGCTACCCAACAAGCATATATATTTGTATAATAGATATAGATTATATAGATATATAATAGTATATATACATATATGTATGATATAGATATGTGTATCCAATAGATGTAGATATTATACATATATGTATAGTTGTACAATTGTATATGCATATATATATAGATAGATATTATACATACCCTAACATGTATATCTATAACTATAGTGTGTGTATATATATATATTATAGTTATATAGGTAGATAGATAGATAGATAGATAAATAGATGGCTGGTATTGAAAGCGACCATTTCATGGGGACAAATGGGGATACAATGGCAATGGTGATCAAGATAGTGATTTAAGCATCAAACATTGGGATAATAGTGGGAATATCATAGAATGTAATATTCAAATATATATATATATAAAAACCTGATATATATATATATACCACCAATATCACTTAAATTTGCCAAATAGTTTAAATAGATACCCAACAACTCGCTAAAAGCGGAACATGTTATATAATTATTTTTTTGACCCCAAGAAAACACGTGTTATTTTAACTGGAGGCCGCAGGGTTCGCTCTGCAGGCTGAGTTTGTGTGGCGATTCACCAGGTTGAAGCAATGACGACGAAAAACTGAACGAGACAGGGGATGACTTGGTGGCTGAAGCTACCCTTTGGTAAACAAACATAGCTATTGAACATGGCCATTTTTAATAGGCAAATCAACTATAAATGGGCCATTTTCAATAACTATGTTAAATTACCAGAGGATACTGTAATGAAAAACACTGTTTTCTTTCCACAAATGGGATATTAGTCATTAACATAGCTATGGGATAATGGGATATTAATGGATATATATATATATGTATATCAAACACTTGATCATAGCTATTAGTCATGGGATATTAACAATGGGATATAGCTATGGTAAAATCCCCATTGTTAATAGGTAAGATAATAATACATGTAAATACTCACATTGGCAATTGTCCATAGCTATGTTAAATTGCCAGAGGGTATATAACGTGTGTTTTGGAAAATCAGCAATATGTGTATGTGACTTGTTCATTGACTTATGAGGCTGATGGAATATATGGGATGTATCCACATACTGGTTGCCCAGCAAATAGTGAATCAGGGCACTGTACCTAGGATAATGTTGGAGTCACCCTTTTCAACGGGGCGTCCACACTCTGCATGTCTGATATACATATACATAAATAATGTGTATATAGATATAATGTATATAGTTTTATATAGATATAGATATAGATATATATATATATAATATATATATATATTGAGAAGTTGATACATGTGAAATTCTTGCTATTGACAATTTCTATATCATGGATATGCATCGGCGTCTTTTTGCTTCTCAATAAAGCATGGAGCCAGAGCCTGATAGATCTGATAGCTGTCCTTGGTATCAGCAGGCTTTCCTGCGGTTCCGGCCTGGGGCCAAGTTATCCTCAGAATCCTGGGATTCTGAAAAAGATCATCAAATGGTGAAAAGGCCACCAGCATCCCATGGTTGCGAACCCCTGGGAACCCCTATTAAAACTGCCAAATGTGTGGTCGTTTCGATTCTGGCTGGTTTGAAACGGCTTAAGCCATCAGTTTCATTGGTTTTGGTTAAGATTGTTAACTAATATGTTTATATCCTTTTTTCCCAACTCTGCTAGCAGCTGCAGCCTCTGAAAATCCATGTGCCTGCTGCACTGCCTTGCTGCTTTTCTTTGATCCACCTTGGGGTGTTTGGAGCAGCTTCAATTTAATTCTGTCAAAAAAAAAGTGGGAAACTGTTGCAACTTTCGTTGGAGTTTCAATGGGCAATCTATAGGAAAGCCATGCTTAACAAGTTTTTACTTTTACCATCAAATATTGACATGTAGACAATATCATATGATAGTGTAAGTGGTTCCTACAAGTACATGCTCCCTTTCTCATACAAAACTTGGAAATCGATGGCTTTTGATGGGTCTTTTTCAACAGATCGCAGTTTCGCAGTTGACAGCAAATAGCGTGGCATCCATTGCTCGGAGCGGCACCCATGAGTAACCTGTTCGGAACTCCCAGAAGCAGTTGAATCACCTCTCCGAGCCGACCAGAGGCGACTGCGTGACAGCGTGACACCGCACGCCCATGGAAATCCAGAGGAATAGTTGGCAGTTGGTTGATTATGGTTGATTATTGATACATTTCAATACTGGAAATCCGTTGAATTCAAAGTTGACAACGGAGATACATTTCATGAATTCCGCTGGGATCCACGCCAAATCCTAAGTAAAATGACGCAACAATGCACTATCAGCATGCTACTAGATCATCCTGGTGGTGAGATCTACCATATATCCATCCATATCCCCATTGCATTCCCCCATATTGTCCACAGCTTTGATCTAGTCCATCATTGGTGAAATATCTATTGGCTTATTGGAATACTATTATGACTATATCATCCCAATAGTGATGCTTACCCTCTGGTAAACGTTTACATAACTACGGAAAATCACCATTTTTAGTGGGTAAATCAACTATTTCGACTGGGCCATGTTCAATAGCTATGTTAGTTTACCAAAGGGTAAAATCCAATCAATGATACTGTGGATGGTTGGAAGAAATCCCATGGCTAGTCACTACAGCTACTCCCATGGCTCGTCCATTCACAGTGTGAGGCAGCCGTTGCCATAACTACTATGGACTACTACATTCATAGCTAAGCATGATGATATGGTAAAAAAATGATTAATGATATGTAATTATACGTGTATATATATATATTGTAATTCATATCATTTATATTCAAATCATTTGGTTAATGGACTATGATCCCATGATATTACATTAATTTCCAGATGCGCTGCGAAATGCAATGGACTATGATCCATTATATAAAACGTATAATGGTTCATAGATGATGGTGTTCTAGTCCACAGTGACCATATGTTACCATCGATGATCCATTGCATTTCGCATCCGTTGGTAGCTCTCCCTGGTTTCCCAGCGCAGCGTCGCTGCGCGCCTGCTGTAAATGGAACAGAACGCCCCGATGGTCAGAGCCCAGAGGAGCTACAGATGAAGAGATGTCTGACCCAAAAATATCCAAAGTGATGGTTAATAGTGGTTGATAGTGGTTACTAGTGGTGTTTTTTGTGGTTCATATATATATATATATATATAGTGGTGTTAGTAGTGGTTAATGGTGCTTTATAGCAGCTTAATAGCGATTAATAGCGATTAATAGCGATTAATCATACCCTCTGGCAATTTAACATAGCTATGGAAAATGGACCATTCGTAGATGATAAACATGATTTACCTATTTTACAGATGGTGATTTTCCATGGCGAAGTGATAGTCATAACCAGAGGGTAAGCATCACTATTGGGATACATTTACCCTCTGGTAATTTAACATAGCTATTGAACATCACCATTTTTAATGGGAAAATCCGAAAATCCACTATAAATGGCCATTTTCAATAGCTATTTTGACATAACCAGAGGGTAAATATACCAGCACCATAGCACCATGGATCCGTCATGGCTATGTGGTCAGAGCCCAAGGTGGGATGACCATGCTGACCATGACCGAATCCCCCATTTTTTGGGGCTCATCCAATGGGTAACCAATGGGTAACAAAAAGGTAGCCTAAAACAAAGCAATAGGCTAATGGATTATATGGGATTTTTATATCGGATTTTTATATGGGATTTTTATATGGGATTTTTATATGGGATTTTTATATGGGATTTTTATATGGGATTTTTATATGGGATTTTTATATGGGATTTTTATATGGGATGTGTTTAAGAGTTTCTTGATGTTTCTTGTACACATCCCATATATAATATAAAAATGCTCCAGCCTCGCAGGCGATTTTGGATGTTGATGGATGTTGGATCAAGGTTGGGGTACCCGCACAATGAGACCCGACATTCCTATGCATGTGTGTGGCCAACCTCTTCTTGGAAAAAGGTGTCCAACCCCCAAGGCTGGCGAAAGAAGCCAAAGAAGAAATTCAGAAGAAATTCACAGCTTAAGAAAGGTGCCAGGTGAGGCAAGTCCATCAGCTGCGGCATCCTCCATCTCTTGCTTTTGCTTCAACTTCTTCGCTTTTTTCTCCTGGGCCAAAGGAAGACTACAGACGGAACACGGGATTCGCTTGTTGCTTAACTCACCATTGTTCGTGAATCAATATTGGAATGTGGTAAACCCAAGAATACACCCTAAGCTTGAATGTTTACCAAGGACATGGCTATGGTTTATAATTAATTGAATTTACCAGCTCACACCCTGTACTCTACCTTTCCTTCGGATCACGTGCGTGTGATATGCAGTAACTACAGGAACTGTCCCACATTCCGAGGACGCCGAGGACCCGAAGTCATTGCTGCATGATCTGCAACGATGTCTCCCGTCCTTCTTGTCTTTCACCTTCTTTTCTTTCGGTGACGGCCTTCCCCGGCAGCTGCGCGATTGCACTTGTGAGGCAAGAGGTAGGCTACACATGGGTGGAACAGTCGTGGAACCATCTGAATTCGTGGGGAATATGAACATCTCCTATTCCATCGATTATACTGTTGGTAAAGCAACAATACACCATCCCCAATTTTACCATAAATAGGTATTATAAACCATCAAAATATGGTGGTTTATGCGGTTTAAAATTGCTTTGCCAACATCACCAGCCAAGTTTTTGAGGGCAGAGAATCAACCCATTTCCTCCACCAACATGGACCCTAGCTCAGCCGCAGACTTGTCGCTGTCAGGCACACCTAAGAGCTTCAACACTCATTCCACAATGGCTATGGATCAAAACCCTGATACTAGGATTTTCATAACTGATACATCACTATATCTCCATTTTACAGATTTTTACAGCAGTTATCCAACCGTTGATCGTTGAATCTCCTTTGCTGGCTCATGCTAAATCCCATTCACTGGTGCTCGCAGCATGGATTTGGGTTTCGATCAAAGGGTCCCCCCGATTCGAACGGAATCGGAAGCGTCATGTGTCAGGGCTGAAAACGGCAGCCCTTCAGGGCTGAATTCCACATGTCACAAACCCATCGTTAATTTAATGCAAATTGTTGGTCACATCAATTCAAACTGATATACAGTCATATTGGTAGATAAACCCCAACAATATGTGGATATCCCTACAATAAGTTTATAATAAAATCCCATATTATTGGTTATCTACCATCTCATAAGATATCCCTATGTTTGGTAGATAAAATCCCCAATTTTTTCGCTGGTCAAATCACGAAAAATCGAAAAGTGCGCCGCCTGGCACCACAGCAGGGGGCGCAACAGGGGCAACTGGGGATGCCTTGCGCTCGGGTCTGCAAGTTTTGAGCTGCTGAAACCATGTGAAACCGAAATGTAGTTTCACTGTTTCACTGATATTGTATGTGTTTATTCATACTATATATATATAGCTACGTGTATATATATATATATATACAATAATTATGTAATATGTATATAATTATATATATATATTATGGATTATTATGGTATATGAGTATGTCTGTCAGACAGATTGGATCGACAGAGAGAGAGAGAGAGACAGAGAGACAGAGAGACAGAGAGACAGAGAGACAGAGAGACAGAGAGACACAGACAGAGGCAGAGAGAGAGAGAGAGATCCGCTTGACGAAAAGGCACGTCGATTTGCCGAAATGAACAGGGGACTTCACAATGAGGAAATGAATCAACAAGAGGCACAAACAAGGTTTGAATGGAAAGAACGGCTGGGTGTTTCAAAGAAATGCGGTCTGGAGACCCCAAGCGCACTCTGGAAAGCACGGAAACTTCGTGTTTGTTTGACATCGATGCGGGTGATGACAATTCCCTCACAGCAGCACGCGATGTTCAAGTACGATAGCTGCCCTGAATGAAACTTTGACTGGCAGCATAGAATTGGGAATATGTATATGTATCATATAAATTCAATATAAATTCATTATGTCCTCATATACTCCTTCTCAACAAGCCATTTCCAAAAAATCAAGGGAGAATCACCAAGTTCGCGTTGAGCTAGCTGGATTCCAATGATCCAAACTTAAATCTGTGGCGGACTGTTTTTGGGCCGTCCTATTTCTTGTTGCTCAAGTAATTCCATTCTGGTGACCTCATAATGGTTCAAACCGCACTTTAGGTTGAAATACCTTTTTCCATTCATTTTTCCTGGTTGCATCCCATATGCCACCCTTTCTTTCTTGGAAAAAATGATCATGTCCGACCATGGCCACCAATGACCCACTAGAAAATTGACCAACATTTGAATGTGTGGGTTGTGGCTGGGTACCCCATTTGGGTCTGGCTAGAAATAGAGAATACATGTGAATCTCATGGAATATCCATAAAATTCAAAATACGAAGAAAGAAGTTCCCAATTCCTCTAGGAATTTCATGGAATCTGGGGCATTTTTTTCCACGAATTTCGCCCCCAAATCCGACAAAGGCCTCCGGCTCAGCGCGCGCTTTGGCTTTGGCTCGGGCGCCTTTGCTCTTGGCGACAGCCACCTCAGGGATTGATCCGCCAACATTGGGGGAATCTGAGTCCAGAATCTGAAATCATCATAAATCATTAAATATCATGAAAAATATCATGAAAATCACCCAGAATCTGAGTCCAGAATCTGAAAATATCTGAAATCATCCAGATCTGGATGGAAACTGAGTCGAAACCTCTGCGATGATCGAGGCACCGACCCCTCCCGGTTCAAGCTTTCGCGGAGAAGTTGCAGGCTCCACTGAAGCTGCAGCCACATCCTGTGAAAGATTGGTTTATTAACCCACAATGAAGCTTAAAGATGTTTAAAGAAGAAATTGGATGATTTAAGGCTTTAAGGATCTTTAAGGAACTCTCTGCACTGTCAAAGATTTGATGTATTCCCATCAAAATCAAGGTTATTATCTGCTACTACAAGTAGTAGATTGAAACCAGTCGGCAGATGAATCTTGATCGCACTGCTTCGTCTTCACTGGTTCATCCTTTCAGGACGATTTCATCAGCAAATGATCCCCCTGCCGCACCTGTGCAGTTGGCACCAATTCTTGAAGTTGTTTCAACGCCTCAACTTTCCGACTTTCCATCCAGCTTCAAAATCTTCAAACAGCAGATATCAGCAGCTTCATCCCCCCAGATATTCTCAAGTCGCTAAGTCGGCCGTCGCGCCTTCTGTACGGATTCATTGACTTCCAGACTTGCAGTGGAGAGCCCCTTTTCAGTCTGGACATCTTCCGGCTTTGCTGCTGGTAGCTGAGCTGCTGCTGCTTGCAACTGCTGGTCTTGTTTCACCTCCTGCTGAAGCAGCGCTTCCTGCCGGGGCAAAATCTGTGAACAAGGGAAGGAGTCACTGACATTCACCAACACAAGGGGTACCTGGACACTGCGCTGACCTATAAAAATAGATATCTTACCCCATGATCTTCGTTACTTTCACCCATTTCTATGGGTACAAACTCAGCATCGTCCAAAATCAGGTCTCAGCACATCCTCGGGTGCTCCTGAAGGTCGATGCCATTGATTCCACTGGAATCCATCTGGGCTCTCTCCGCAACTTGCTCGGCAGGCACCACCTTTGGGCGAGATCGGGTGAGATCGGGCTGTCGTTTTTCTTGGTGCAGTCAGGGACCATGAACCGAGAAAAAATCATCATCTTTTCGTTGCCCAGAAATTGGTGTTCTTTACCAGGACAAAAATCGAATAACAAGTCTACAGGCCCAACCTACAGGTCTGATGGAGCTGGCTGAACCCAGCTTGGGGCTGTATGTTGGCAACCTACAGGTCGTATGGGGCGTGTTGGATGTATAAACTGTCTGTTGGAACCAAATCTTGGCAACGGCCGTCACTATTTTGTAATTCACAGAGTTTTTATTTGGCTGGTGAACCACCAAAAAAAAAACAATCTGGATTCATCTTCTCAAGTAGGGATACATTTGAAACCGTGGGATTCATGTTTTGGATGATTAGATACAAATCGTGTAATGTCCGCAATCATTCGCATTTTGATTAATGTCGAATATTATATTCCCTAATTTGTTATCATGGTTCTATTCTATATTTGATTGGATACAACACATGGGATATACAGAATATCGTAACTATATCACTGTATCTTTATTTGTGCACTGTATAATGGGATGTAATTAGGATATATCATATTTATAGAATCAATATCCCAATTTCAATCTACATATACATATATACATATATACATATATACATATATACATATATACATATATACATATATACATATATACATATATACATATATACATATATACATATATACATATATACATATATACATATATACATATATACATATATACATATATACATATATACATATATACATATATACATATATACATATATACACATATATATACATATATATATATACATTCATACATATATACATATATACATACATACATACATACATACATACATGCATGCATGCATGCATACATACATACATACATACATACATACATATATACATATACAGTCACCGACAGAATTATGGAAAAAAAAAAACGTTTCAATTTACAGGCGCCGCCTGTCTATGATAGAAAAGTTACGAACCTTTTTTTTCCATAATTATTTTTTCCATAATTATTTTTTTTTCCATAATTCTGTCGGTGACTGTATTACCATCGATTCGCAATTTGAATGCATTTTAAGGGGGAATATTGAATTATAGAAAATATGTGTCTAAAGATCTGGTATATGCCCCTAAGTCTTCCATTGATATACAATTGCACCACCAAAACTCATTGTTGTACGTACATACATATGCGGGATGTATCCTTTTGCCAAGCCACCAATTGGGTTGATACTACATACTTGCATTTGCATACATATTTCCATAACCCCCAAAAAAAAGGGGTTTGAATTGTGGATCCATGACATGTCCAACAGGTGGAGCCCCAAACATTAATTATGGAAAAAATAATTATGGAAAAAAAAATTATGGAAAAACCGGTCAATCTGCGCTAGCCCCCTGATTTTACAGGAAAAATCAATTATGGAAATAATGGCCACCTCCAAGAATTATGGAAAAAAAAAAGGTTCGGATCACTTCCGGGATATTTTGAACCCTTATGGGGAAAAACCTAATTATGGAAAAATCGGACGCAGGCGCCGCCTGTCTAAGTTGAACGTTTTTTTTTTTCCATAATTCTGTCGGTGACCATATACATATATACACACACATACATACATACATACATACATACATACATACATACATACATACATACATACATACATACATACATACATACATACATACATACATACATACATACATACATACATACATACATACATACATACATACATACATACACACACACAGACATACATACATACATACATACATACATTACATTACTTACATACATATAGACACATATATATATGTCTTATATATATATGTGTCTTTTGTATGTATATATATGTGTCTGTCTCTTATATATATATATGTCTTATATATAATACATATATATATGATGCCCTTTCATGATTTTCCGGGCTCCATCAACGTTTGGCACTCACCATAGACCACTGGTGGCAAGCCACAGGTGGAGGGACATCCTTCACAGCTTGCCTCGACAGCAACACATGCGGATGAGTTTCACAAGTTGATGAGCGTTCCAAATATGCGTCAATGAAAATGTATGTATGTATGTATGTATGTATGTATGTAGCGTTGCATTATATCATACTTCTGACAGAAGATTGTCACTCAAAAATTGTCATCAAAAGCATCTTTTTAAAACCCTGTCGCACCTGTGAATTATTGTGAAGCCGTGTTACACATCTGTTTGTTGGTGGTCGGTTCATTGGTGAAAAAAAATCCCCCTGCCTGACTGGATTGGGTCGGTAACTGCCTCGCGAGGAGCAGAGTCAGCAGAGTTGGTTGGATTTTCATAGGGATTCCCAGTGAAGATGATGAGTGATGATCATCCCTTTTTTTTCTGAAGAAGGGCAGGTTAGAATAGGTTAGATGTGGATCACATCCGGAAAAAAAAACGAAAAGAACGGCCTCTGCTGTGTTCCCTGAGGCGTTGAAGCTCTTCATGGCTCACTTTGTCCACCACCTTGCTGGGCCATGGGAAAACCGGGAAAACACGGGGAAGGTCCAGGAAATGGGTAGAAAATATGGGGACATATAGGCAAAATGCATTGGATAATATGAAAAATATGGGGAACTATGAGCAAAAAACATGTTTATTTTTGGGACTATCAAAACTAAGATGTGGATATAGAGTTTTTCTTCGGGGAGGTACAATGAGATAATGAGATATATAAGTGCAACAATATGATACATTACATGAATGTCTCTGAAAATTGCAATATATAGGTAACATGTGGAAAAAAATGATAAACAAAGGGATTTGGTGATACTTTATTTTCAGACAAACCCGTATGGGAAAAATGATGTGCCAAAAGACTGAAATTATGATGCTAGATCTATAGAAGCTAGCCAGTAGAATTGGGAAGAGAAACAAAATCCAATGACTTTGAAAATTATCTCTCCCATCAAACTCGCTATATATTCAGGGGTATGCCCCATCATCTGACACACCCGTATCAAGACAAGTCGTGAGTTTAACTAGCAGGCGGATTGACCAGCAAAAATCGGGAAATCTAGCCAGCAACAGATTAGTATCAGGATGTAACAAGCCATCAATACGAGGAGGCTAACAAACAAACAGGGAATGGATATTTGGTGGTGTGAGGCTTAGCTCATCTATAGACCCACAGAAAATCGTAGATTTTACCGCACAACAATGGAGTTTTTATGAAGAAACACTGGAGGATGTCTAGGAAGCCTCAAATCAATAGATGAGATAGAACAGTTTTTGCTGGATATTGTTTGCTAAGTGATTTTGGTATCCGATTTTCAACATCTCAAACTTGTCGAATTCCATGAGGATCTCTTTTGGAGTTGCTCCTAGTTTTCGAAATCATTAAACTTTTCAGTTGGAAGAAACCCAAACATCATGGGATTCTTGTTGTTTGCCACTGAAATCACAGGAGTGGGGCCCCGGGGCTCCCTGCTTCAGGATCACCCAGCAGGTTTCGGCCTCGAATTTCATATGGATTTACCAGTCGTCTGACTGGCCACTTCCAATCATGAAATCCATGTTCTCAACCCATGATTTCCATGGGAAATTGCAGCTATTTCCATGGATTTCCCATGGATTTCCCTCCCGGGGTCGGTAGTCCTTAGCTTCCCGACCCAGTTCCAGGGCATCAGAGGCCGATCGCATGGATCGAAAGGAAACCACCAAACCTGCCTCTTTCGGTCCTTGGATCATGAAGACCTGGCCATTTCTCGGCGGAAAATGGCGATCTTGGGAAAAAATATGGAAAAAAAAAACACGGAAACACGGGGGTCGTCACGTCGTCTGGGGTTTGAAAGAAATGATGTTCGAATCAAAAGGCATTGACTGGACATTCGAATCCCCGGAGAGCCCCGCCTCCTCGACATCTGGATCTGATTCCAACAGACGCTTCATGTCCTGCTTCGATCAACCACAACCTGGAGATACCTGGAGGTGATTTAGGTGGTTTAGGTGGCTTTGAATGCGAGAAATCACGGGTTTTGTTACGATGTGTATGTGTGTGTGTATGTATGTGTATGTATGTATGTAACTGTATGTAACTGTATGTAACTGTATGTAACTGTATGTAACTGTATGTAACTGTATGTAACTGTATGTAACTGTATGTAACTGTATGTAACTGTATGTAACTGTATGTAACTGTATGTAACTGTAACTGTATGTAACTGTATGTAACTGTATGTAACTGTATGTAACTGTATGTAACTGTATGTAACTGTATGTAACTGTATGTAACTGTATGTAACTGTATGTAACTGTATGTAACTGTATGTAACTGTATGTAACTGTATGTAGCTGTATGTAGCTGTATGTAGCTGTATGTAGCTGTATGTAGCTGTATGTAGCTGTATGTAACTGTATGTAACTGTATGTAACTGTATGTAACTGTATGTAACTGTATGTAACTGTATGTAACTGTATGTAACTGTATGTATCTGTATGTAACTGTATGTATCTGTATGTAACTGTATGTAACTGTATGTATCTGTATGTAACTGTATGTATCTGTATGTAACTGTATGTAACTGTATGTATCTGTATGTAACTGTATGTATCTGTATGTAACTGTATGTATCTGTATGTAACTGTATGTAACTGTATGTAACTGTATGTAACTGTATGTAACTGTATGTATCTGTATGTAACTGTATGTATCTGTATGTAACTGTATGTATGTATGTAACTGTATGTATGTATGTAACTGCATGTATGTATGTAACTGTATGTATGTATGTAACTGTATGTATGTATGTAACTGTATGTATGTATGTAACTGTATGTATGTATGTAACTGTATGTAACTGTATGTAACTGTATGTATGTAACTGAATGTATGTAACTGTATGTATGTAACTGTATGTATGTAACTGTATGTATGTAACTGTCTGTATGTAACTGTCTGTATGTATCTGTATGTATGTATCTGTATGTATGTATGTTTGTATGTATGTATGTATGTATGTATGTAACTGTATGTATGTATGCATGTAACTGTATGTATGTATGTATGTATGTATGTATGTATGTATGTAACTGTATGTATGTATGTCTGTCTGTATGTATGTATGTATGTATTTACTTATAATATATATATATTTATTTATGGTTGTATGTATGGTTGTATGAAAGTATGGTTGTATGTATGTATGAATGAATGAAATGAATGAATGAATGTATGTATGTATGTTTGTATGTGTATATTTAAATGATTATAAACATACATATGTATTTGATACTTATATCATCGCATGATATCGCATGTGCATATGTAGGACGTACAAAACAAATTTAATTGTAATCATTGTGCTGGTGCAGTACAATAATGCTTCCAAGTAATGAGCCATCAAACTTGTTGGATAAATACTTGTTATAATTCTTCAACGTTGCTGTTGTGTTGCATTGGTCCAGGGTGAAGAGTTTCCAGCTTATTGTATTTGTTCCATGATTCCCGTTTACTATATTATTGTCAGGTTGGTATGTTCAAAACAGTAAAAGCTAATTTAAATCTTTTGGGGTACGACCAACGGCGCTGAGCGGCTGTCCACATGCGGCTTGACTATGTTACCATGTTCCCGGGACATGTGTAGTTGCAGCTACAGCTACTGGAAGGGCTGGAACGACACCAAATTGGGCCCACCGTTGCATATGTCAAAACGCGAAAGGCGCCAGGGTCAGGAACGCAGCATTTGCGGGAAGCGGTGCCTGGACAAGCCTATAGTCACGGTCCGTCGGTTGGAGTGCTGTGGTTGTCCCCATACGACCTGTGCTGAGTGTGAACAACTACGCCAGATGCGCGGGACGTAGCATTGACTCCGGCGGTGGAACGAAAATTGTTGAATGGCCCGCTGCACGCAGCCGCCAAGTTGAAGCCTGGTACAGATTACTCATTGACAGTCCTTCCTCTTCCAGTCCTGCTAATCTGCTGCTTGGCTGCTGCTAGACTCCTAGACAACAAGGCTTCTCGTTTGAACTTCGTTTGGGCCTCTTTTGGGGCATCGCCGCGAAAGCTTCTGCTCGCTTGTTTTTCTTTTCGGCCTGACCTGCTGGTGGGCCTGCTTGCTAGCCCGCTTGCTTCCTTGGTGACCTGCTGCCTTCGCCTGCCTGCCTGACTGTCCCACTTCTTGCATCATTCGTAGTGGGTTTCTGCGCAACAGCCGTGTCATGATGTCGTGAAATTGTCTGCAACGAAGTGGGGCATGTTGGGTTCAGCAGAAACATCAATGGCACCAGTCTTGTGAGCCTCTGCACGGTGCAAGTTCACTTCGCACCCCAAACGTGGGGCTTAAAAGAAACAACCAAATTTCAGATTCACGCACAAAATCCAGTCATGTGCTAAGGTCACCTTCATGGTCCTCAGATCGAAGAGGATTATATAGGTTGTCTGACCATTCGACGACTGGTTTGATTGAAATTGTCACTAGTTGGCACTGCTGCTGAACTTGAAGGGCTTGAAGTGTCGGAGCAGCATCTGAAGCACTGCGGGCAGCCTGAGTCATGGCCTGAAGCATGTTCTGGAAGTCATCCACTCCAAATGATGCCACATCCAAGGCAGAAGTGCAGAACCGCAGTTCGCAGAAAACAGCAGCGTAACGATGGTTCACCAACTAAAACGTCCCTGGGTCGCCCCTGGCCCAAAACCAAGAAGCTCCCTGCTACCATGAAAACATATTTTGATTCGAAGCGCCTATGAGATCAGGCTTCGCTGTACATGCGATGTGAAATAAAACTTGTTACTCCCTCTCGATTGTGCAGTTTCATCCTTGCGCATGGGACAACAGAAAACGTCAAATTGCTTCTGATTTGACAAGATCGTCCTGGAAAAACCTGCTGGAGAGGACGCTATCAATTTTTTAAGCGGGAACTGATCTTGCCAAGTATTTTTTACAAAAACTTCCTTCCAGAACATCCCACAAAAACTTTCATAGAAACACCTCTATTATAGACGATCTTCAGTATCTTCTTGCACGGACCTGGACCTCTTAGAGAGTATTTCACCCAGATCTCTTCACAAGGACATCTAAAAGAATTTCGGTAAACTCTTCGTAGAAGGACAGCTAAGAACGCGATGTAAACTCTCGCGAAATCCGTTTTGGACCTTTTGGAAGGGCTCAGGCATGTGCCACGCAAAATGTCGACCAAATCCGAAGTCCAAACATGACGACAGTTTCACAAAAGGAGCGTTCGAGGCTTTGAACACGTTGTTCGAGGTTATCGAATACCACGTTGCATGAAACCATGACTGCGAAGCCATTTCTCATTTTGGACCATCGCCGGACCAACTTCGACCCACCTTGCTTTAATACGACCCCAAGTGTGAACCCCAAGTGCGAGCACCAAGTGTGAACACACTGTTTGCGGAAGAATGTAGGCACGAAAAAAAATAAACAGATCAAACCCTCTGTCAAGGGGTGTCGATGCCAGTTTGACACCAGAACCAAATTAATGCCTTCCTGCCTGCGGGCATGAATTCTGAGCAGCGCACAAACTTTGCAAAACGTTGTTTGGGGCCGAACATGCGTGACAAAGACATCCGTGGCAATTTGGTTGCATAGCCCGAGTAGTGAAAGCACTTGGTTTTCGATTCTGGTTTGGCTTGATGGTGCGGGCATCATTGGCAGAGTTGGACTGGGTATGAAGTTTCGCATGGAAGTGAGGTTTTGCAAAAACCAATTAACATATGAGAAGGCCATCATGAATTCCCCCGACAACGGGGTACATGAATGTCAATCACGTATTCCAAAAAAACACGGCCTGCATAGAGACAACAGTTTTCGCAACATGGCGGGCATCGCCAGGGTTTGCCAAGTCGAAACCTCAGAAAATGGTGTCATTTCGAACCGGTGACGTGTCAGCGAATGTCGCTGACCAGGCTTGCTTGCGACCGCGGGTGTCGCAATTTTCGCTTGTGCCGACAGGTGGTTGGCAAGTTTCGCTGTTTGGGGTCGATCTTGGAATTTTGATTCACAGGCCCTTTTGTAACGTATGGTTTGCCAATTGGGGAGGCCGAGCCGGATTTGCCACTTGTGCCTTTACGGTGCGCCATGGTGGCATGTCACCATTCTCACGTCAACACTCTGCTCCTGGGGTTTCAAAGGTTGTTTGACACATCGATTCTGGGTATCTGTCAAGGCCAAGACCTGCCATTGCTTTAAAAAAATCATCATTTTTGGCAACAACCATCACATCTATAGTAGCAGCCCCCCGGATTGACAGCGTCCTGATATTTAGATTGTTTCCCATGCAACCAGTGGTTGTTTCGAGGTACCAAGCCGAGGGCCCACACCAGAACAAACCCTTTTTGTCGCTGGCCTGAACGAAGGCAAATTCTTTGGTCAGGCGGCGAGGGCCGGTTGTCGAATGGTTGTGGCTGGGGTCAAGCCAGCGGGAAACCAAACAATGGACGGTATGGACGGTGGTTTATGATGCTTTGCTTGTATCAGAAAAGAGCGCAGCTGGTGCGTGCTGGTGCGTTCAGCTGTTTTTTTGGCGGTTTTATCCGCATTCCTCTTAGCAAAATGGCAGGCGCATTGCCACCAAACACATCTTGGATCCAGCTTAAACGACCAACATTTGGAAGATGTGTGCGCTCACGGCAGGACAGCGCTGAAGAAACGCTGAAATTGGTGGAACGTGTGGCGCAGCATAGTCCAGAGTGACCTTGCTGCTTTGGTTCTCATGGTTCTCTCAACTTTTGTAATTCCGTTTTTCCTAATTCCCAAATTTGATTGCCACAACTGTTCCCAAGGTATACTTTGCTTTTTGGGATCTCAGATCGGAGACTTGCAGAACTAGAGCAAGACAACAAAGTGAAGCAAGGAAGGCGCAGCAGCAGTCAGTGTCACTGGCCTTCCATTGCAGCAGTTCGTTGACAGGCTTACGCCAAGCCGGGATCTAGAAGGACGATTGCATTGTGAAATGGTTCCAGTTTTGCAGGCGGGTTGTTTTATTGATTTGGTACCTGCAGCAGCTCACTGTGCCATGGCAAGGCTGGGATGGTGGATAAGCGACCCAGAAAGCACGTGGGCAGATCTGTTTTCACAGATCAGGCTCGATGCAAAATGATGCAAAGGATGGGGCACACTCTGGCAATCAAACCTGGCAGAGCAAAACCCTACTAGTAGATGTGTCTACACTCTTCTATAAAAGTGCACCTATAAAATTTTATAAATTATTTTCCTATGAAAAAAAAAGGTTTCCTCATGGCTCAGATTCTCAGATTGCCGCCCTCCAGGTTCACGTCGCTTGGCTGCTGTGGAAGAATCCTCAAGAAGCACGAAAAGTGTATTGGGCTTTCTGGCGGCAGCGGCATTACAAGGCCGGAGAATGGAGCGCGTTTAAGTATATATATATATCACTATGTTTCACTATGTTTCACTATGTATCACTATGTATCACTATGTATCACTATACATCACTAAAATCACTATATTCACTATAATACATCACTATATATCATTATATAATTATATATGTATATCACTATATATCATTACATATCAAGTAGATTTAATTCTAGATCACTATATATATATATGTATTATATTTAACAAGTATATATCAAGTATATATCACTCTATATCATTCCATATCACTCTATATCATTTTTATTATATCATTCTAAATCACTGGAACAGTAGGACGATTGAATCAACTATGCCATGCTGCTCAAGAATGATAGGTACCACGCCCTTTTCTGTAGGATCCATCCTGGATTTTCTTAGGGTAGGTGCCAGTACAAACTGGTGGGTGTTCGGGTGCCCGAGCCACTGCGGTCCTTCTGTTGTGCATTCCCTGATCTTGGCCTTCATCGCAGGTTTGGGTTTTGGCCTTTCCATTGGACTTCTTGCAATCCCCCTTCTCGCTATCAGGCTTGGATTTGTGCTTTCGGTCATTCCACACCGCCCATTCTCTGCTGATCCTCGGCCTCACCGGCCTCCCTCTCTTCTCGCCTCACGGCATACTTGTATGAGTGATTCTGATCTGAACTTCCTCCGAGAACAAATCTGTCAACTTTCCATACGTGTGACCACGTTGGAACCTCAGGTGTCAGACCTGAGGAACTCCGGTCATCACGGCTCCACAGCGGACTTTGAGTTGGTTTCAGAGGTTCAGAGGCCGAGGGGCACTGGCACTGGCAGTAGTTCTTCTGTGTCCAACCAGCTGGCTACAGAGATTCCTTCTTGCCCACCAGCCGGTATCTATTTGTGCACATCTCTCAAGGGAGGCAAGTTGTCTTTCAAGGAACGAGCTGAGCGAGCTTGGTCTGCAGGCAATTGAGCAAAGTTTGTGCTCCAAGGCAGGATTTCAAAGCCTCGGCCCACAACTCCCATTGACCTTGCAAACTCTGTCTACGTTATCCTCAGGGCAAAGGGCATCACTCAACCAGTCCGAGCTGAGCGCGCGTCGGACTACAGGGCCCTGGTTGGGGACTTCACTGGTGAGAGTCTTCCCCACAGCTGCGTCTAGAGCTGAGGCAAAGGTTTACTGCTTGGGTGCCAACATCACTTACCCCGAAGAGGTGTATCGATGGAGCTAGATCAAGTAGTGCCTTTGGATGGAGAGGCAGTCGAGATGTATCGGGTCTTTTGGCCACCAGATCCAAATTTGGTGCAGAGCAGAAGAGGGCTGGCGCTTGTCGTGTTGGTTTGTTGGCCTGCTGGTGGAGGAGTCCTTCTTGCGCTTCCTTCTGCACTTGTTCCCGCAGAATCTCTTCCCTTCGAGCCCACAGAGCATGGGACAATTGGCCCTCACACCAGGATGGAAGTGCCAGGCGTCCGCATTTTAGAGGAAGGGTGGAAGAGTTAGGCGTTGATTTGGACGTGCAGTTAGTAGATGTGGGTGTTCAAGCTTTGTCTGCCATCACACCCCTTGCTTTTGTTCCCGACACAGACGAGACTGGCATCATTAGTTTTGGCGAAGGTCTAGATATAATTCTAGACCCGCAGTTGCTCATGCAGTATGCCAAGGAGTGGATTGGCCAGCAGGCAAAGGCCCCTAAGAAGAAGGCCACCACTGCAGTGCTAGCAGAGCAGATGTCAACGTTGATGACTATGATTCCAACCATCTCCCAGCAGTTGGTGGGTCTGCAGCAGGATCACAAGCAGATGAAGCCCACCATCGAGCAGCAGAAAACCGCGCCTCCTGTGCGAGCCAGTCAGCTTCCTGTCTCTGGTCAGCTTGCGGGATTTGCTCAAATGATGGGGTCCCTACCAAGGACAAAGCCGCTGCCTACGACTCCCGCCCCTGTTCTAGCTTTGCAGACTTCTGGCCCCGATGCGAACTTGAGTTTACAGCAACAAGCAGAAGAGGGCAGTCCATTGCCGGGCGATCCCTATGCTCGAGCTATGTTGGAGCAAAACCGTGTGTGGCACATAACATGCAGCAGGGAAGCGATCCACTTCTAGACGGGCAGGCGGCCTCCTCTGCAAGCTCACTGAGTACCAGAGGGTGGGTCCCAAGGTCGAGAGCGGCTGCAAAGGGAATTAGCGCAGAGGTCAGGGTCATTGTTTCTTGCTGTGCTGCAAAATGTTGTGAGGCGTCTGAAGCCGGCAGCCCCGAGACCTAATTTAATGGAGGAAGTAGCCGACACCGACTTTTCCATGATCAGCTACTTGGAGCAATTCGGCGGCTTCGGGTCATACAAAGAATTGGGGTTGATCCAGTATGCCCTTGCTCACATTTGCGATGTGCTTGTCCGCTCAGACCTCAATGGGCCGCGCGACTACTTGGGGCTGCTCATGGTGGGGGTCGATCAGGCAAATCTGGATGGGAATGGCTGGGAGTTGGCGTACAGGATTACCGATCCAGGGATTCGATCCGCGCTCCAAGAGCTTCAGCCCTCTTGCCCCTCAACAATGGACCACTGTTGCCTTGGCCTAAGAGATGGACTACATCCAAACAAAGCGCCAGGAGATGACGGCGGGACCAAAGGCCTCAGCCGCACGTGCTACTGCCCCTGCCCCACATACAAATCCCAAGAGGAGGAATGGTCGATATGCCAAGGCGAAGGCAGCTGCTGGTTCGTCAGGGGATCAAGCTCCGCAGTGACAGATGGTCTTCTTCAAGATTTTGGTGGAGGACCTCCTGATGGTCATTCTCCTTTCTTTGAGTGCAATGAGGTTGTCGATGATGGTTCCCATTCATGTGACAGTCTTGAATATGAGGTTGGTGTTTCTGAGGAGCAATTGCTATGATAGTGCACCTTTTGAAGATGGTTGTGCGCCAGAACTGCTCCCAGAGTTTAACGTTGGCATGTCAAAGGGCGTTGAGCAGGACAAGTCCCATGTTCCCAAGGGTCTTGAAAATGCAGATGGCCCCCAGTTTGATCATCAATTAGATGCAGTTTTGAGCGCTTCAAGTTCACCAAAGAAGGAGCTGATGCGCCCCACACCGTTTCCATCATGGGTTGAGCAGTTTGTCCGACAGGTTTTGGGAGCGAAGACAAGGTTTTCATACTTTGTTTTACAATCACTTTCTGCCAGTCGCAGTGGTCGTACTGACAGCACTGCTACCGCCTTGTTTCCATTCCTTACCCTCATGGTGATGTGTTTTGAAGTGGCCCGGACCACCTTGGCAAAAAACATCGCCATGTTCGTGCTCTTCGTAAGATGTTGCACCTGGCAGTGATGGCACTGAATTTTGAGCACCTCAGGAGCCCCATGTCTATATTGCCTGTGCTCTACACAGGCTGTCTATGAAAGAGTTTTCAAGCAGATGCAAGATTCAATGAGTTTGGTGCCTTGGAGGCCATTGGCCTCAGCCCAGGCTCTATGTATCATCAGTCAGCAGCAGGCAGAGAGGTTGTAGAGCGGAATGGCATTGATGAGCTGAGGCCTTACACGCCTTTGGATGCCTCAAGGATCGTCCCGCATGGGCGAGGAAATTGGGATTGCACTGACTTCCTGTCGGACTTGCTCTACATGCCCTTCATTGACCTCGTGTCAATACTTTTCAAGTGACACCGCCTGCTGGTAGCTTCCCTGAAGTGTGTGTGCGTGATGCTGCAGAGGTTGAGAAGTTGAGAAGCTGTCCAAGCTGTGGGATGCCAATGGACTTCTTTGCCTGATCCCAGGTTCCCTTGGCCCTTCCTCAAGTGAGAAGTTCCTCCATACGCATGTTTTTGGGAACTTCAAGAACTCCAATGCGGATAGGCAAATTGGTGATAGGAGAGGAAGGAACTTTACGGAGGGTCGCATTTGTGAAGGACCTTCCCATGAGATTCCAAATGCAACTTCGATTTTACAACTTGAAGTCAAAAGGTTTGAGGAAGTCTTGGTTGGAGGCATTGCAGATAGGCGTGATATTTATCATCTATTTGCAGCAAGCTATGAGCGTGCCTCCACAAACACTGTCTACCCACCGTTCAATTTGGGCAGCTTTAAGGGTCTTCAGGCATATGACATTTCCTCGCGAACTGTGGCAAGAGGGCGCGCAAAGAGGCCCGAGAAGAGACGGGGGATTTTTTAGGCATTCCCCGGCCGGTAGTTTTTGAGGCTGATGATCACCTGTCAGTGTTTGCGTCTTTTGCTGGCTTGTTTCAAGGAGATCGCCTTGGTGTGGAACAAAATGCTAGAAGAAGCAGGATGTCATCCAAAATGCTAGAAGAAGCAGGATGTCATCCTGCGCACAACCGGCTCACTGCAAACCAGCCCATACTGCAAAACAAGCCTATTTTGGGTTTGGTAATCGATGATTTCTCTCTGCTGTCGGCAGAGGACCGCAGTGGTGCGAGAGGAGATGTTTTTCATGCCTCAAGTGCGTCGTCTCAGTTTTTGGATCGCGCGAAGCCGACCTATAGGGAGCAACGTGTGTATGGGTCCGATGATAAGGAGGAGGTTCGAGGATCACTGCTTTTCAAGGTGATTTGGTGCTGAGGTCAATTCCACAACGCCCATTGTTGATGCTGGCCATGTATGTGTGGGTTCTCCTGCCGAGAAGCGTCTTGGATTGAGCATGCTTAGTGCGATGGCAGCTTGCCTTCCGTACACAACAGATGCATTGCATTCCAGCTTGGTTGGGTCTTGGATTTTAGTCCCCTTGTATCGTGGCAAGATGATGTCGCACATGAATGCCCTTTTCCAGGTGATCCCTCCTGCAGAGCTTGACGCGGGGAGATCGCAGTTGCGGCCTCTTTCTATAGAGGGCAGCGGCTGAGGAGTTTTTGCTTCTAGCTTGTATCAGCCCACTTGCTCGAATATTGCTGTTCCATTCTCTGAAACTGTGTGTGCATCGGATGCCTCAACATTGAACGGCGGGCTTGTTTCCACAAGGGTGCCTCTTGAGACTTCGAAAATGTTTTGGCGGTCAGCAGAGAAAAAGGCCAGAAACCCCAAGTTGCCTTCACGCACAGCTGCCTTGATTCAGCAGTATGAGGATGACCCGGAAGATTTTGGGTCAGACTCTCACCTTGAGGGGGAAGTTCTGGATGTTGGGAGGCCTGTCGGGCTACGGTATGACTTCATTGAGGTTTGTGGCGGCGCAGGAGTTGTCACAAAATGTCTTGTTGCTCTTGACGTTGTTTGTGGCCCAATCTTCGACATCAGCTCTTCGCGAAAGTATGACATCACTAACCACAGGGTTTTTGCATGGCTTGCTTTCATATTGGAAAGATGGCCGGCTGAGACCTTTTTGGCAGCTCCACCTTTCACAGCGTTCAGTCCTGCTGCTCAGGCATGGCATCCCAGGGTCTTGCACGGCAATAGTTTGGCATTTGCTTCTATGGGCTTGATGGTCGTGGGGAAGAGGACAGGAGTTTTTAGCATGCTTGAGGCCCCTAGGCCCTAGGCGTTCAAAGACTTAGGGCGGGAGGAGCTGATGAAGTTCACCTAGCTTCTTGCGAGTATGGCTCTCCCCGCCAGAAAGAGTTTGCTTTTGATGACAGTAAACATGAATGCTCGGATGCTAGCCCGGAAATGCAGCAGGAAGCATGCCCATGTTCGAATTCAAGGCAAATTCACAAAGCCTTCTGTCGCTTACTGCGAGGGTCTTGCAAAGGCTCTTGCTAATGTGTTTGCCATGCACCTGGCTTTGGAGGTACGCCGTATTAAGGTCGATGGGCTTGAGGATGTCCTTACGAATGATGTTCTTTTGAGTTGCAAGTGGGAAGTCGTGAGCAGCTGGCCATGGAGAGGATCTTCCCACATCAACTTGCTGGAAGTTGCCTCAGTACTTAGGTCGTATGAGGAAGAGGCCAAAACAGGAGGAGATTCCCGTTTTGTTGACTGTGTGGATTCAAATGTTGAGCTTTGCGCTCTCACTAGGCGAAGGAGCTCCTCCAATGCTCTCAGGTTTTTGCTGAGCAAGCACACTTGCTGTGGCTTTTGGACTCTACCCAGCAGGTCGTTTTGCACCAACACGTCTGAACCCAGGTGATCACCCTACCAGGGATTCTGTCATGCCTGATCCAGTCGCTTCTCTCTCTCATGCGGGTTTGCTTCTTTTCAGATCCTTCCAGCACTCGCAGATATGGGCCTTCTCGCTTTCTTGGATGTTCCCCGATGGATTTCGATTCAACTCTTGGATTTCCTGTTGAGGGCCCCCACTCCCAAGTAGGTAGATGGACTTTGCTTAGATGGACTTTGCTTGCCATGGCCTGCGTTGGCGTAGATGCGGTAGGTAGGTGTCATGGAGATCAAGCGCGTCGTGAACTGCGAGCGGGCGTTGGGTTGCCGGAAGGGAGACGGGTCACTGCAAGGACCTCTTCAGTACGGTCTCAGCTCATGTCTGCCTTCAATGTGTGGTTGCGAGATGCAGGGTTATCTTTCGAAGATGTGCTTTTGGCAAGCCCTCCAAATCTGGATTAAGTGAACGATGTACTGTCTAGGTACGGACGTTTCCTGTTTGCGGAGGGAAAGCCTTATTACTTATTACTTATTACCATTTTTCTGACACGATCAACTCTGTCAGTGCGAAGCGTCCCATGTTGAGACGTTCTTTGCAGCAGGCGTGGGATTTGTGTGCCATGTGGATGTCTCTGGAACCATGTGAGCATCATCAGGCGATGCCAGTGCAGGTACTGCTAGCAGCCCTTGCAACGTGCTTGGTGTGGGGATGGACAAGGGAAGCAGCTATTTTTGCGATGAGTTGGGGGATGCTTCTGAGGATTGGGGAAGTGTTGAGTGCAAAGCGCTCTGATGTGGTTTTTCCACAGGACGTTGATGTGGTTTTTCCACAGGAAGTTGATGTGGTTTTTCCACAGGACGTTGAGTTTTCCATTGACAAGAAGATCCTTGAGCCCAAAACGCGCTTCCGTGCAGCTAGACATCAGAGCAGCAGACTTGAACCTCCAGACTTAGGCCTTACGAAAGAATCTGGCCTTTCTCTTCTTCTACTCTGAGAACGCGCCTTGACAAAGTGCTTGCTAGGCTCCTGCCAAATAGGAAGGAGAGCTCGAAGAGGAATTTGACACTTGCCTCATTCAGACCAGGGGGTGCCACTTACTTGATCAGTCTGACAGAATCAGCTGAGATGGTGTGCAGACGTGGCCGCTGGATTTCGCTGAGGGTGATGGAAATATATCTCCAGGAAGTTGCTGCTAGTACCTTCTTGACTGATATTGACCCTGAAGCCAAAAAAAAGATCCTCTTCGCAATGCGGCAATTCCCTGAGGTTCTGAGAATGAGCATGCAATTTTCCTCTTCCAGATTCCCAGAAAAGGCGTGGAACGTTTTCTTCAAGCAGGAGCCACGAGGAGACAGCATGCCGGGTCAGGTTGAACGGATGCAACAAGCCCAAACGAGGTGGCATCACCGTCACACGGCAGAAATACGCTGGCAGAAAAGATGCGTGAGCTTCCCTATATATTCGTCTATATCAAGTATATTTCACTATATATCATCATCATATATATATATATATTTTTCTACGTATCAAGTATATACCAAGTGTATATCACTATAAATCACTATAAATCACTATAAATCACTATAAATCACTATAAATCACTATAAATCACAATAATATATATCATGACATATTACTCCATATTACTACATATCACTATGTTTATTGCAAAATGTAGCCATATGTTGTCACTATAGTTAAACACACACACACACATATATATATATATGTATGTATGTATGTATGTATGTATGTATGTATGTATGTATGTATGTATGTATGTATGTATGTTATGTATGTATGTTATGTATGTATGTATGTATGTATATACGGCATTGACTTGTTGGGTGGTTTTTTCGATGTCATCTTCCATGCAGGATGCGGAGGCGCGATCCTTCTGGGCCAAACATTTTCCAGTGCGGAGCTCGCAGGTGGTTGGCTACGTGCCAAAGTCGGGTAGCGCTGGCTGCTTTTTTTCTTGTGCCGAGGTCTCGTCCTATGGTTACTTCGAGGAACTGGACATTTTGACCTTGGTCGTGAAAGTGTTGTTCATTGTAATTGTATGCCATTTTCGCTTCCAGAAATTTGATATCCGATGGTTTGACGCAGGAGCGCGCTCACATCATTGCCATCCGCGCGACGGAGCACATGATGGCCTTGCGAAAGCAGGTGCCATGTGTGCTGTGTGCTTCATGTGTTTTCTGTCCAAAACTTGCTACCGTCAAACACCCAAATTGTTGTTTTGTTCCAATACAACCAGACACATGGCTATCCAGCCATAAAGGACAGACGTACACACACATAAATGATGTGTGCATGTGTGCATGCGTGTATGTGTGTATGTGTGTATGTGTGTATGTATGTATGTATGCATGCATGCATGCATGTATGTATGTATGTATGTGTGTATGTATGTATGTATGTATGTATGTGTGTGTATGTATGTGTGTATGTATGCAATGTAATGTAATGTAAATGTAATGTAATGTAATCTAATGTAATGAAATGTAACGTAATGAAATGCAATGTAATGTATGTAATGCATGTAATGTATGTAATTTTTGTAATGTATGTAATGTATGTATGTAATGTAATGCATGTAATGTAATGTAATGGAATGGTATGGTATGGTATGGTATGTAATGTATGTAATTTATGTAATGTATGTAATGTATGTAATTTATGTAATGTATGTAATGTATGTAATGTATGTAATGTATGTAATGTATGTAATGTAAGGCAATGCAATGTAATGCAATGTAATATAATGTAATGTAATGTAATGTAGTGTAGTGTAGTGTAATGTAATGTAATGTATGTAACATATACATAGGATGTGTTGATGGGTCTAGTCCTGGTTGTTTCATGGTCACCGCGAACTGCTGTTGCAGTTTGATGTTGGTGGCACTGCAGAATCTTCCAGCCCAGAGCCAACCAAACCAGACAATAAGGAGATGAACAACTCCACTGCCTGGAGCTAAGAGGTTTACGGCGTTTAAGGCAGGCGCAAGTTGTGTTTTGAAGAAGTGTGAAAATTGTGCAGGTTTTGGTTGTGAACAACGACATTTATGACCTGGTGGTTCAACATTTGAATGACTTTTTGGGCAAGGCCGAAACCAGCTGAAACCCACAGCTTTGATGCTTCCATTCTTGTGTGATGCTTCTGCAGGATGCGCCTGAGAACTTCAATTCCCAGGCGCGGAGGCGGTACCACGAGAAGTGGCTAGCCAGAAAAGGTGGTTTCACACCCAACCCTTTGATTTTTTTTCAATGTGTTTAGGGCAGTTTTAGTTGAGGTTTCGGACCAAGCCGTTGTGCACCCAGTTCTCGAGGAGTTTGCGCGTAAGCTGCGAGACACCGCTGAGGAGTTGTGCCAGGATCTGCTTGGAGTTTCGGAGTTTTCGCGGGGATGTCGTCTCTGCGGTTTCCTGTTTTTTTTTTTTTTAAGAGGGAAACTATAGTAACCAGCATAGAATTCAAAAATTCAACACGGAAATAATGGTAGAGTATTTTTCTACTTCATTTGGGGATGAATGAGGTGCTATAAAGTGCTATAGGATAAATTTGACTTGTCACATTTTTTGGTGGTTAGATGATTACGCGTGAATATAATTAGGCCTTCTATTATATAATCCCAGTGGAGAAGTATGATTTGTAGAGGAAATGCAAGGGCCCGTGTCATGGTCTCACAGGACATCATCGATCTTACGCCACTACTGGTCCAATGCCCAGCCGGAGGTTAAGAGCTACCACAGACAGCACCTTGGCTGGCTAAGGTTTTTGTGTATGTCGCCTGCAACTCAGAGTCTCATGTTTGGGAGAGAACCGCTGCAACCAACAAAATTTGTTTGACAGTGGATGCTGGAGCCGAAACCACAATTGACATAGCCACCGGATTTTTGTGATTCCACCTTCAGATTCTGCCATTGCTGATCTTCCAGTTCTTCTTCAACGCAGGCCCACTGTACTGCACTAGTTTACAGGCTGACTTTGATTCAATCTTCTGATTCGAACGAACTTTCCCGTTGGGCATCAGTCAGTCTTCGAATCAACCGAGGTCAGTACTACTTGAAACAGCACCTTGGCTCTGTGATGTCCACCGCGGTCAAATCTCGGTGATAGATGAATAAGTCTTGCTAAACTGGTGGCCTTATCCTCAAAAAGTGACGTCTTCCGTGACCAAAATGGTACCCTCTGGTAAAATAACATAGCTATTGAAAATGGTCATTTATAGTGGATTTTCCCATTGAAAATGGTGATTTTCCATTGCTATGTTAGTTTACCAGAGGGTAACCCCCAAATAATGCACCAACCATTGGGGCCTCTCAGGTCCGGCATGTTGGAGCAACTCATGATGGGCGAATCCTCTCGGCGGCTGCCACTTGTCCCATTTTATGGGCACTGGTCACGTTGAAGCGACCCCAGGGCCCAAGATCAACGGCAGGTCAAGCAATAAATATCTGAGGTGGATACCATAGTGTTCATCATGCCTTGCCATTTTTCATCATTTTCCCACATTGGGCTTGAGGGAAAATTTACGAACACCTCCCTTTTTGGCAGGAAAAACTGCATGCTTTGCAGATTTTCCCTCACACCCAGTGACCATCTGAGGTGATTTGCGCAACATTCCCCGGTCCCGCGAAAAAAAAAACCACGCGCGCGGGGCTGGCAGCTGGCAGCTCCTTGCGGGATGTCGCTCTGCCGGGCAGGAGGTCACGGGTCGAAGTTGCACCAGTCTCATTGTGGTTCAATGGTTGCAGCGTGAGTGAAACTTCGTAACCAAAGTAAGGATGGCAGATTCAGCAACCTTTGTTGAATGACTGGTCTTGAACTGCAACTTATAGATACTGGGACCATTTGGTATCAGCCATCGTGGATCATGATCTGCTCCCGGATGCCATGGCATGATGGGCAGCATGATCAGCTGTTGACAGGTATGAAGTCTTCTAGAACTGTCTGGTGGTTTCAAATGGCCGTGGTTTAAAGGATTACATTTGGGATAATAATCGTTTATTCGCAAATGATAAACGTTTTTTCCTCCTCAGTGGGGTTGAAACCACGAACATAGGCTGGCAATGGCCATTTTGGCTCCAGTTCGGGGTCCATTGGTTCCACGGGTCGGCATGGCAAAGAAGCGAAAAGCCTGGCCCTAAAGTGGTGCACAGTGCTGCAGGGGAATGCCAGCCTTGTAATCCATCAGTACATGACATGTACTGCTACATGTACTGTAGTTGATCTACCTACTCACTTTGGACTCAAGAATTGAAAGTGGGAATGCATGTTTTTCCCATGCCCGTGAGCTTGATCGCATTTTTCTATACAACTTCCCGGAAAGCCAGTGGCAGTGGTCAAACTCAAAACCATCATCCCCTTCGGTCCCCTTCCACCTTTGCTTCAGGCCGCATCCCAAGCCACCCCAGAGGCATGGATTGCAGCAGAAATCGCACCAGCCGCCAGCCCCATTCTGCCCTGTAATAGGACGAGGCCTTGGATTTTGAGGATGATGGTGATGGCCTGGAGCCCAAAGTTTCGCATCTGCTGGGGGTAAACAATTGACCACCAGAAGACCAGACGATTAGGGCTGATTAGGGAAAGAACAGCTTCAAACAACTCAACAACTTCAAAAACATTGTCTTTTTCTCTGGTGGTATTTCAATTTTACTGTATGCCCCATGCCCCTCCCCCAAAAAGGTAGTAGTTCTTTGGTTTGCCAAGTTTCCCAATCCAGGCCAGGAAGAGGCAGAGGATGAGGCAGACGCGAGTGATTTGGGTATTTTGGGTGACAGTTGTTGGAGCCTGGCCATCTGACCAGGAGGAGATTGTTGACGCAGAAGCAGAGGACATCGCAGATTCTGACTTGATCATAGGCGAACATTTGGGCTTAGCTGTGGCAAGATATTGAGTGACAGCATGTGACAACCCGAAACAGCCACAAGAACATGCTGCCAGGACGATGGGGAGGGTGATGAAGAAGAAGAAGCTCCCAAGATGATTTGGAGGTCCTGGAGTCCTGGAACCCTGAGATACCCCAAAAGAATCAAACAGTTGATTGGGTTAAGTTTTGATGTATATATCTACCAACCCATGTAGACAGTCGATGAAATGCAAACCTGTCATTGTCGTTGTTATCCCCAATCACTGTCTGGTATTTTTCTTCAATTCTTGTTGGTTCGACTTGTTTTTTTGCCGCTTAACTATGCTTGAATCATGCTTCAATGTTGGTTCAATCGCTGTTCAAGACATTTTTTTCTGTTTGCTTAGGTCCTATTTAGTGTACATCACGGCGATTCAACCAGCCCCCCAAGGTATGCTGGGGCTTTGTTTATACACAACAACAGCTATCAAAAAATGTTGTGTGACTACTAAAGCTTGATGAAGGGGGTTGTTATAATAGTCATATGATGTCAAATATTGTCAAATGATGTTTATTGTAACTATAGGGTTTCATTCACAAAAAATCATCCTACAGTAGCCCTATTAATCCCTATTAATCCCTATTAATCCCTATGAATCCCTATTAATCCTCGATCATTGTGGGGGTCTCCGACCTGGCGACCCGCTAGGCCCGGCATCGATGCCTTGGAAGATGGCGAACAGTTGGATGTGGAGCAGCGATGCCCGAAATGGGATGGGATGACATCGGGGTAACAAGGAAGCGATAAACGAAACGGAGGACATACCCTCTGGTAAACTAACATAGCTATTGAACATGGCCATAGAAATAGTGAGTTTTCCCATTAAAAATGGTGATTTCCCATAGTTATGTTAGTTTACCAGAGGGTATGGCAATGAATTCTTTGCGGAATTTCTTGCGGGATGTTCTGGAATAACGATGAATCAAGGGTGTCTAGAAGATAGGAAACGTGATGTAAACCAGTCAACATATGTAGGGAGGGGGTACTTTGGTCTCCTTTTCTTCTCCGTACCCATGAAATCAGCAAGCCACGGACAGCATCGCCTGAGGCCGGGGACCTATGACATGTTACACCGAGCACAGGTTGAGTGGCCGTGTTTGTCCGTGGATGTGATCCGCGATGACCTTGGAGCGCAACGTGCCTTGGTGCATAGGCCTGCCATTCAGAGGGACTGGGGCTGAAGATTCTCCAAGTGCTTCAAGATTAATTTCAAGATTAAGATGATTAAGCACAGCTTCCAGAGATTTCTGGGGCTCCTGCCTTGAGGCTCCACTTTCCCCATGACAGCATATGTTGTCGCGGGATCGCAGGCTTCCCGGACTGAGGCGTGGCATGGGCAGCATGTGACATGACAGGATCATACAGGATCAAGATCGGCATCCTCGAAGTTGGATCAAATTGGACAGTGAAACGACTTGGGTGCATGGCCTCTCAGATATTGACCCTTGCCCTTGCTAATATGTCCATTTGGATCCCTGAGGACAATCGGCTTTACGTCATGAAATGGTGCTGCCCTTAGCACGTTGCTATCAACAAATTTGGTTCATGGAGTGAAAACCGGTTGGTATATGAACAAATCAACAGATTCGGGAATGCCATCTTTTCATTACTCACATACATACAGACACACACGCATATATATATATATATATACATACACATACATGCATGCATGCATGCATGCATACATACATACAAACATACATACAAACATACATACAAACATACATACAAACATACATACAAACATACAAACATACAAACATACAAACAGACACACAGACACACACACACATGCATACATGCATACAAACATACAAACAGACACACAGACACACACACATGCATACATGCATACATGCATACATGCATACATGCATACATGCATACATGCATACACACACATGCATACATGCATACATGCATACATGCATACATGCATACATGCATACATGCATACATGCATACATGCATACATGCATACATGCATACATGCATACATGCATGAAATATGTATGTATATATATAGATATATGCACATGTGCACACAGACACACATGTACATATACGCATATGACAGACAGCTACACCTTCTTACTCAAGTTGTAGTTGATTTAGAACCAGGCATAAACTCTACAAGACGTCGAAAGATGGCCGAGAGGACTGAAACTTGACAGCCCTGTGGGGTGGTACTGTATGCTGCTTGTTGGTCGAAGTCTCCTTTGCCCAACTTTTCCCAGGATGAGGAGGATGAGGAAGAAAGCGACAGTGAGGACAGCGAGGACGAACATGAAGCAGCATTGGAGTGTGATCCTGAGCACCGCAACTGCAACATAGCTGTGCAAATGGGGCATTCCTCCATTTCATGGGTTTCATATCTTTTCATGGCAATCTTTCATGAAGAATGTGACTTGAATATGATGATCAAACCATGGTTCAATGTGTGGGAATAATACCCTCATGTTTACACAAAGCCAGAATTGGCTCAAGATCATCTATTTATCTCTGTATATATATATTATCATTATATAATTCTATTTGTCGCCCTTATAACCCCAGGATATTTAGGTTTCATTAGGTTTCACAAAACCAACACTTCCACATGGGTCCCATGTGGTCAGTGGTTGAGGTCTAAGGCGACCCCACACCCTGGTGGTGTGAACCGGGTCCGCGCCATGCCACAAGCCGGCCACATTGTGGCCACCTGGGCCGACACGGGCAAGGTGCACATGTACCCAAGCAGCAAGTGGCTGAGTGAATATTGAGACAACACCTTCAAGTAGTACACACACACACATAATATATATATATGTATATATATATAATATACATAATTTAGATAAGTAAATTATACACACACATAGATATACATATTATATATATATATATATAAATAATTTGTGTGCGTTTTTTTTTTGTTGGGGAAGTCATTAGGATTTTCATTTTGTCACATTATGATCTATGTCATGACCCCCCAACTATAGGCTCCTTCCTTTTTCAAACTGTGAAAAAAAAACGCATATCTGGTAAAACGGTATTTCCTAATTTTAAATTCCAATTCAACGAAGGTATTTTCCAAATTGTCAATCAAGTTCAGGCCATTTTTGGGTCCAAGGTGGAACCTGGACGCTCAGCGAAAAGCCTTGAACAAAGGGGACCGGGTTTGAGCCTCGCTGGAAACCCATGGATTTTCCGAAGATGGGACTTACTGTAACCGTTCTGAAACCATGGATTCTACTCTAAGATTCGTGAATCCTCCAAATTTTCCCTTGAATTATATAATCCATTGTTTGAAATCCATTGAGTGATTGAGTGGCTGCTGAACATCTCTCTTACTATGAATGCCCCACTCCAAGGCTGCACCACAGGCGAAGCCGATCTTCACATGTGAGTCCCACAAAGATGAGGCTGGTGCGTTGGTGGAGATTGGTGAGACATATTTTACCCATTCGAGTTTCAATAGAAAAGGCCAATAAAAAAGACGTGGCCTATATTCAAGACACCATGTCGGACGTGGATAGTTTCATAATAATTGTTGGCTATACTAGTAGTCTCTATAGTCCGAAAATCATGAATCGAAAACGACAGCCAAAAAAACAAATTAACATCTCCAGAGTTTTGGAGGCATCCATATGGCATCAAGCATATCAAGCCCAGCAATGGTGCCAGCCTTGCCAGCTGCTAGGGCTTTGCTCTGGACTTCAGCCCCAACGAGGCAGGTCGTTTTCTGTCAGGCAGCCGGTCCCTCAGCGCACAGCGCACAGCGCACAGCGTGGCCGCGTGGCGCCTTTCGGTGCCACCGAGGCAATGATTCCCAGGTGTTGCTTTGGGGACCAGTACCTGGAGGTCTGGGGAAACGACTGGTGGGAATCGGTGGGAATGGTGATTCCTGTGGTTGGTGTCCTTTTTTGCTGCTTTTTCTGGCACGTTGCACTGGTCCTGCAGGTTGGACAGTCGAGTCCCAGCAGCCCTTCAAGGGGCACAAATCCTCAGTGGAGGATGTCCAGTGCATGGGCTCAGAGTCTTAGAGTCTTAGAGTCTTGGAGTCTTAGAGGCAGGGTTTGAGATTTTCCTTGCTGCTTTTGCAAACTGTGACAGGAACTCTTGTTCCCAAGGTGGAAGAAGTTGGGAAACAGTTTTCAGTTGGTGGCCAAGATGTCGATTCACCGAGTGATTCTCTCAGCTCTAGGCTCTACAGTGCTGAAGCAAGGTCCACTTTCGCATCTTGCAGCTCTGACGGAAGCTTCAAAGTGTGGGACATCAGAGAGAAGGAGACCATGGAGTGGTGCAACAATGACCCTGCTGGAGGTCACAAATAGCATCAAATAGCATGGCCACAAGCTCAAACCATCCAGATAAATAAATAGATAAATGAATAGATAAATATATAGATAGATAAATTAATAGATAAATATGTATACACACAGATATATATATATATAAATTATATTTATTTGATAATTGCTGTGCAAATCTTGAAGTTTGGAAGAACAGGAATCCCTGGTTTCTTTGAGTTTGTCCACCACCTCAGGTAGTAGACAACATGGAAAAACATGTGGTCAACCCATTGCCATCCAAGTGAGCTAAGAGCTTTTGCAAAGGAATTTCGTGGTCCCCGTCCCGTTTGACGCATCTGGGATCTACGTATACAGCTATTCTTATGATTGTCATGTACATGCCTACCTTGCAGAAGGACTCCTTGTAGGTGGCAGGTGAACAAGCAACCGGCACCAGAGAGATTCGTCCCAACCAGGATCGGAAAAAGCCAGCCATCAATGTGCCCGGCCCCTTGAGTCATTGAGTCCTGAATTTGGAATTCGCCGTTGAAGATCCGGGCCACTTGATTTCAACATCGTTGTCCCCCATAGAAGTGGGGTAAATCAATCAGATACCTGGGATGAACAGCCGGTGCTGGGCTCCGGATGGCTCCGGGCTCCCGGACTTCAGGCCAGATGCTCATGGTGGCTCGGACGTCAATGTCCTCAGTGATGGACTGAGTGCTGGTGGTTTCAACAGTTCCATCATGTTCTCCAGGGTTTGACCCAGTTTGCCTGATTTTGCCTGTAAATCCCAGGCTGGAGTCCGATCGTTGGCGAGCTCATTGTGACAGGTGTCATTCACAGAGCTTGTGAAGTCTTGTGAGGTTTACTGGAAGCTGTGCAGGCAAACCATGGCCTTGATTTTCCCATGCAACTGTGTTTCTAAGATGTGTTGATGACTGAATCAGAAGATGCGATCATTCCGCTGATTTTGGGCTCAAGTGTCAGGATGGCCTTCCTTCATTCGTCAAGAAGTGTAATAAGTTTTTCATGGTCACATGAGGATGGAGAGAGAGAGGTTGGTCAAGAGGGATTTGAATTGCCCATAGTGATCAACCTGGCCAGAAATGGCACTGTAACCATGTGTATCTCCAAACAGACCCCATCAGTCAGGGCTAATTCTTATTCTTGCTGTACTTTTCTTACTCCCTTTCTCCCCGTTTGCGGGCAAAGTCGTGCTAGGGATGTGAGATGATGTGAGCATGGTTCACGGCATCGCCCAAGCAACATGTCTTTGGACTGGCAGGTTCACCTGCCAACTCCTTGCCGGATCGGATCCCAAAGGAATCCGCAAGTCCTTCGCGTCACCTGTCCCTGGGGCAGCTGCAGACCGAACTGGCGAGTGTTCAAGAGCTGTGCAACGAGTTGCGTGCAGAGATCGATGCACGCTGGCGCTTGGAGCCGGCCAAAAATGGCAAGGGCAGAGGCAAAAAACGTGTGAAAGTTGTGATAGCACAGTCCTTTGTTGAAGATCACACCCTTCAGGTGCTTGGTGCTCAAAATGGAGAAGATCTGAAGAGGATCTTGCAGCAGCATCAGGAGCGGGTTCCAACAGCCCAAGGTGTGCAACGACAGCTCCAAGAAGAGCTCCAGCATGCGGCAGGTGATGCGCGGCAGCTTGCCTTGGGACTGCCGCAGTTGGACCAGCGAGTCAGCGAGCTGAAAAGACAGCAGCTGGGCGTGGGAGTCCGTGGGAGAGTTGCGTGTGAGAAATCAACAGGGCGACTTGGAGATCTCAGAGCTGATCAGTTGGCCCTGCATCTTGAAGCCAGTGACCTCGAAGGTAAGACAGCCGGATACAGCCGGCATGCATCTTCAGCACCAACGTTCTGCGAAACTGGCCATGGACGCTGAATCTGAAGGACAAGAGTTGCGGCAGTGCCTCCAAGTGAAGCAGGGCACACATACAGACGACGTCTCTTCGTTCCCGTCTCGAGGTGACTCAGCGCTTGCGGCAAGAGATCCCACAATACAATGGCAATCACAGGTCTTGCAGCTGGAACAGTTGCTGGCACAGCAACGGGAGAATCTGAAGGCGGGGACTGCATAGCCCAAGCCGAGGTGCTGTTGTGTTTGCAACTCTCCCCCACGAAATCTTCTGTTAGGTGATGTTTGATCATGGCACCCTGATGCAAGATGATTCAAGACCATTCTTTCGCAGATCAGATCAGAAGATGTGTTTCTCTGATCCTATAAGTTTTTTCCTCCCCAAATTTGTCACTTCCAAATGTTTTATGGCTTTGTCATGCTTTGTCCGGATCCATTCTCCATCATTTCCATCCCCGACTTCCCCATACACCATCCATCCATCCATCATCCCAATTTTGATGGTAAAACTTGTCATGGCATGCATACCCGGCTGGTTGACTCCCCATAATAATAACAGTGCCATGACATCCCATTATGTATCTGATAACAATTGATATCATAACATATTTCTGTGTGTATCCTTGTGTATATATATATATATTGATATATTTATAATATATACATATATAATATAATATATAGAATATATGATAATATATATATATATGTATTATAAATATAATTATATATACATATAAAAACATAAACTATACACCACATGTATCCCATTAACTATGGCATATGGTCAAAAATATATACCCCCCCTTCCCCACCATCCATCATCCATTCAAATCCATTAAGAATCCCTAATTTTGGCTCCTTGAAAACGTTGAAGCATGTTGAAGCCCAGGGTCTGCTGGAAGCCCAGCAGTTGGCGCAGCACTTGGAGCTGCAACCTCCAGCGCTGCTCGCAGCTCTTCGCGCCTCGCCGAGGCACTGGGGCAGGACGTGACGAAGCACCTCGCGGAGCGTCGCGGAGCTAGCGCCGTAGGGGAAAGGAGATGGGGTTGGAAGGGTGATGGGTTGCAATCCGCAAGTCTTTTGGGAAAATTAGTGAGTTGAAATAGGTTTGTTCAAGTATGAACTTGGTAGTTTGGCCTAATTTCCACTTGGGCTTGCCCAAAACATGGGGCAAAGACTCATGGTTTTCGGCAATCACGCCAACTGGCTGCTGGTAGGATCCAGAATCAGAACTTTTCTTTTTGATGGCAAAAGGAGAGAAGATGGTGTAGAACCAACTGCTTCGGACTTAGGATGGTTTTAGGGGTCGTTGAAAATACGAGCTGTTTGAAGCCAGCAAATGTCGGGATCTGCCCAGTGGCCGCGCAGCCCTTTGGTGGCAGTTCCATAGCCAATGTGGAAAAAGAGAGAAGCGCCAGCCGCCACGGGCGATCTTTGCTGCAGAGATTTTGCCAGTTCTGGGGTCACAAGTGAAATTGGATGCGGACATTTTGGCTTTGCAATTAGTGATTGGCAATTCTGATGTGCCACGATGCCGCCAATTTTTGACATGTTTTGACCATGGACGTCATCAAAGCAGCCGCAGAATCTGACCTGTCAAGACCTTACACCAAGACATATCCAAGACATATCCTGTCGACATCAAAGGCAGCCTGGAACAGGGCCGTAAACAGCGCCGAGGAGGCGAAGGCAAGTCAGGCCCATGACTGCCAAGAGCCATGGCCAGGAAGGTGGGTTTTGATGGCAAGGCTGGGAGCAAAATGGCTGTCTTTCGCCATGTGAGTGTGAAACAGGGATGATATACCTCTCAAAATGGCAATTTTGCTGGGGAAAAAAGGATAAACCATCCAAAATGGATTTTTGCGTATTATACCATCTATTTTCAAACAAAGAAACTCCGTTCTGACACGCCAGGATGCTCCCACAGATGGGAACAACAAGTGCCTTGACAGCATTTTTGCAGGGAAGCACTGGCACGGCACATGCGGCTTGACTTAAGGCTGGCGCTTCCACAGAAAACCGGAGGCAGAAGGGGCGGGTTGGGGTGAAACGGCAACTGGAACTCAGCCCCTGAATCAGGGGAAGCATCTCCACGAAAATCGATAGGGCAAGGCGCGTTGAAATGGGAGCCTTGCGACTTCAGCTGGATTCATGATCCATTTTGATTCTTGCTTCGCTTCCTAACTTTGTAGGTGCTCCCTCTCCAAGGAAATCCCTCAACCCAGGCAAGTTGTCGTGTTTGGGTTGTCCTTGTGACCTCCTGGGTCAAGCCATTTGTTCAATTTTGGACGTTGAGTCCCTTGAGGCGTCAGTGCATCTCCCAGGAAATCCTTGATACCAGGGCAGGCTGCCAACAAAGAAGGCGCTGCATGCTGCACCTGATGAGGGTTTGCGTGCTGCCATGTGCTGACGTGTTCCAGGAAATGAGAAAAAAACCCAAAACAAGGGCACCTTGATCCAGCAGGTGACCACCTCAAAACTGCGAGACTGGGGATAGTTGTGCGTGGATTCGTGGATGCCGTTTGTCACCGTTTGTCATCGTTTGTCAACCAGAGTGTGGTCATGCCATGCGCCATGCGCCATGCGCCATGCCCGATTCGCTGAGGCGGCTGCCTCTGTGAATGCGGACTCCATCTTTGGTGCCCTCAGGCCACGGCAGTGACGGCCAGTGACGGCCAGTGACGGCCAGTGACGGCCAGTGACCATCGTTGCCATGACCAAGGCGAGGTCAAGCTGTGAACGTTGGCTTTGGGTCCATCATGATTGAGCAGGATCTGATGGAGGCCGGACTTCGGCCATGACCATCCCGGCCGCGTGGAAGGGAAAACCTGGGGCAAAAGATGTCCTGAATGGATCTGAATGGGCTATGGCGGCCATGTATGATATGTAAGTCTAATGTAAGTTATGTGAGCTTCTTTGAAGACCCCTGCAGGTACCCATGTTCAAAGCTTGCAGCGCTAGCTTTGTGAGTGCCTTGGCGCAGGACCGAGCACCCTGTCAATTGGTAGTTATGTGAGTCATGTGTGCAGTTGGCATGTAAGTGAAGACACTCGACTTGCACATCTATATCATGTTAGATATGTTTAGGCCCACCATTCGAGCATCTCAGCCCTCCATGTTCTCTAGATTCTAGATGCAGCTGTGAATATTGTGTGTTCATCAGGGCCTGTGCACCAAATGGATCAACGGATCTCTTGCTCTCCAGGACGCCTCCGAAACGACCAAGGCTTTCTCTGAAGGGCAAATCATCCAGGAGGCCCCAACTCTCTGCACTTCCCATGGCTTGACCCAGGGATTTTGAGACTCGCCCTGGCAACCGACGCTCAGGCTGGGGCGCCCGGAAAAAGCATGGTGCTGCTGACGCGCGGAGCTGCGCAAGTCATGAAGAAGGCCCTGGACGAGCAGGGAAGCCTTCGGCGTTTTTTTAATGTTTTTTTCCCCTCCTCCAAAACCATCATGAATTGTTTTATGCCCCATTTCTCTTGATTTTATGTCCCACTATGTTGCACACACTCATTTTCAAGAGAGTGATGTGCCACCTTCTCGGTGGGTTTCAGGTAGTGAATCAGATAGTGATAGTGGTCGATTAGCCGTGGAGACATGGCAAGCAGGAATAGACTTCGTAAACCTAAAAGATGTAAAACTCTGAGTCAAGAAACTTGACCAGTGGGGAAGGTGTCGGGCTAGCACACAGTTTTGCTGGGGGTAGCTGCGTGCAGGGCGAGGTTCTGATGTGCCTTGGCAATCAAAAGGATTCAAACAGGATTCAAAAGGCAGATTGTGCATGCCCAGCGCGCCGAAAGCACATGCTGTCAAGCTTAGTACCCCACAATATCCAATGCCTGTTGGACCGGAAAGCAAATTCGTTGAGGAACCTAAAGCAGGGCGACCACTATGGCGAAACGATGCTTCTGGGGTTGGAGCAAGTCTGGCGGGTGTCTTTGGTTTCTTTGTCTTCCAGTGCCTTGGTCAGAGAACATGTTTTGATATTTTTGGTGCACAGCGGGATGTTGCTTTCGTAACAACATGTTGCGGTATGATTTATAGCAAACGAAAGGGACACAAACCAATACATGGCTGGAATATATCAGCAATAGTCATATTGAAACAGAATGTGAGGCATGATCATCGAGATTCGACGAGATTCTTTTCGGAGAATTTTGGAGGCTGGGACGGGTGCAATGGCTGTGCAGTAAAGTGCTAGGCACAGCAGTTCGGCAAAGGCAGATCGAGTAAGAAGCCCAGCAGTGATAGCCATGCAGGATTTTCCAGTAGAGATCAAGCAGTTCGAGAGCCTTGGCTAAATGTATGTGTGTGAACTCGGCTGATTGTGGTTCTGGGAGAAGACCTATTGTGTGCAATGCATCCGTTTTTTGTGGATATTGTGATATTGGCAGCCAGCAACCTTTTTCTGTTGTGCTTCAAGCATCGTCTACACTTTTCATTTCACAGCATCATCCTGATCTCTTTGATCAAACGAGTCGGTGCAGTCGTTCATCATCGGTTTCCATCAGACAAAGATTGCCATGTCCAAAACCACCAAAACCACAAGGCAGACGTGATTGAAGCAGATGTCAACTTCTATCCATTTCTATCATTCGATACCGACTGAGGAGCTTTTTTGACGTCACCCTGGACCAGTTGTTTTCAGGGACCAGGACCAATACCTGCGACATCTTCACCGGGCTGTCCATGAAGACGCAGCTCACCACAATTTTTTGGTCGAGCGAAGCCGGTGAGGGATATCCCAAGATTGGAAGTTTTCCAACAGGTCAGGGATTTCAAAATTGATCAAAATTGGAGGTATCCCAAGAGTTGGGTTCCCACCATGAGATGGTCACCCCAAAAGCTTCGTTTTGACCCATGCCCACATGCAAGGAACATCTCACATGCTGAGAGCCAAGGTTAGAAGTGTTCGATGAGCACATTCTCAGGAGAGTATTCTTCCCTGGGGAGACGGCCACCTGCCTCAACGTTTTTCTGTGCCACTTGCAGTGGTAACTGGTAGCTTATGGATGCATGGAGGGTTATGGAAGGGACTGCAGATTTTGCGGGAGTGCCTTTCATGTGAGCAGTTTCCGACAAGTTGTGGATTGGTTAGTGTGTTTTAGGAAAAAATGCCAAAGATCAACCCAGGTGAAAAGGAAGTGATATATATAGTGACTATAGTCTAGTGATATGTTACTAGTGATGCCCAGCATCAACAAGACATCAACATCCTCAAATCGGCACAGCCCAGGTGTTGCAAGAGGGGGATGACAGCAAAGAACTGGTGCTGTTACAAGACGGCATGGCCGTATTGGAAATCGCTGGGCGCAACGTTCGAACCGAGACAAGGGGGATGAAGGCGATGTGGCACTGGTAAAGGATGTCAAATGGGCTAACATATCCGAGATAGATTCGAAATTAATGAGGAACCGGAGAGTGTTATCGAACTCTTTTTCCTTCTTCAAGTCATATATCATAACTGCCTGCTATCACCAGCATGCTGACCATTTTCCTCATTGCTGGCTGTGTCAGGAGAGGAGAGAAGGGAGGTCACACGCAGAGGCGGGGCAGCGGTCATTTCCAGTGTGGATTGCCCTGTCAAATTTGGATGTTGATGTCCTGAACGCCAGGAAGATAAGGAGGAAGAGGAGGATTCCCAAGATCGCCCTGCTTGCTTCGGTCACCTCGCCGTTTCAATTCAGGAATGTTCCCCATTTTTCATTTTGCGAACAGTTCAGTATGTATGAATATTAGTTTTGCAACATAGCCCGCGCTCCATTTGTTGGTTTGTTTTTGGTACGGGGAATCTCCCCAGTGCCGATGCCAGCTTCAGCTACCTCAGGTGAGCTGGAATTCCTGGGTTTGAGTTCTGTTCGCAAGACAGAGGTCAAGGCACTGACTCCCTGCGTTTGCAGGCCCACGGTGTAGCTGAAAAACCGCAAGGGTGGGGCCGGAAGTGAGGCCATGCAAAACATGGGGGTGAAATTGTTGAGGCAACCCCAACTGAGAACCAATTCACGGGTTTCCATGTGAGGTAGTGGGGTGTGTCTCACAATACCCCCGCGAATAGCCAACTTTCAGGGGCAGTTGCGCATTGTGAAACATCATGTGCCTCAATGTCCCCTCGTTCCCCAATTGCAACAGTTTCTGCTTCCTGGCTTGTGCTCTGAGACTTCCCCTTCTGCCAGGGTGCTTCACCGCGAGATGGTCCCTTTCATTGCACAGGAGAAAGCCATAAGAGCTGAGTTGGAGGGTGTCCTGGCAGCCAATGCATAATCCGCAAGCAGCTTGCAGCAGGATTGCTCACCCAGCCATCCAGGTAGCCTCCTGATGCAGATGTTCCATCAGAACGTGCGAAGCACTCACCATGCGCAATCCAGTGTGCTGGGCGATTTTGTGGCTGCAAAATGCAGTGAGGAGTTCTTGATGTGACTTGACCGCAGCTGGCGCCACCAGTGGCACTGGTGACCCTGAGTCATAGGGTGCCTCCACAGGTTTCTGGCTGGACATTTGGAAGCCAGGCTACACCCAAAGGGAAAGCATCTCAGCTGCAGTGCACCGAAAATGCCGACTAGTGCCTTTCATGGCAGAAGGCCCGAAGGCCATTATACACTGACGGGACTCAGTTGCAGATAGGATTGGACCTTGACTTGGGCTTTATGGATGTTTTAATGGTTTATCATTGCAAGGCGCCGCAGAAAGCCAAGGAAGATGTGTGATTTGAATCGCGATTCGGGATCCAAATCCCTACAGATGGTGATGACTGGCTCAGTGACGGTCAAAGGGGTCCAGGGCAAGGAGACAATGGCCGCGGCCGATGGCTGGGTCTGTCCTTTAATCTCTCAGCTGGCCGATGGGTCAAAAGGTTTAGGAAGTCACAGCTTTTAGCTTAATTTTGCAATTTTGCGTTTTTTTTTTTTTTGTCCCACTTAATAGACCGCCTTTAGCTCTGAACTCGAAGGTGATGCACTGCAGCTCGCAGGAGCTCCCATCCCTGGGAGTTGGTGGTGTTTTTGGTCGGATGACTGCTCTCGGCGTGCGCCCACGACCGCACGATGCTATTTCCTTCATTGCAGCAGAGCACTGCTGCGTTGAGGCACCAGGGTTCGATTGCTTCATGGAGAACACATCTGGTGTGAACTAACACGTGTAATTATTCTATATTTTCAAACTTCGACCCCCTGAGAGCAATCTTTACTTGGCATATTGTGAAGTCATCACGAATTCGCTCTGGTTCCCCCTAGCAGAGAGCATCAAACTGGTGGATTTTGTCCGGCAGTTCCCCTGGGGGTATTTGATGTTGTCATGAAAAAATTCCCCTGTTCCAATGCTGCCCCTTTGGTTGTTGCAGGTTTTGCACCAGGATGTAGTTGTGAGGGGCTTGGAGATCTACCAAGATCAGCGCTCGAAGATTCTGATGCTGGAGCAAGACAAGAACAAAGGACAAAGACAAAGCACCTGGCGTTCGGTATGGATCAGCAAAGGTTGAGGATCAAACTGGGGTATTATCAATTTTTATTACTATAATATTATTATTACTAGTATTAAAATTGTTATTTTTTATTATTATTACTACTACAATTACATTATAATAGTGTGGTTCCTTTACCGATTTTGGTGCCACAGCATCCAGCTGGTCCGTTGGTGTCGCGGTTGGCGAGGAAATCAGGTGGACTTCGTGGAGATCGTGGCGAACTCGCGCATCTTTTCCAACATGCTCCAGGGCCAAAAAAGACGGGGTACCGGCTGCAATTCTTTAGCAAAATTACCGGCTATTCATGGCTATTACATAGATTTCTGGAGTATGATCTGTATTGGTTGTATTGAACTTTATTCTTACGAATTTGACTCTTTACCAAAATTCAATCAAATTCGTATATATAAATGAGTTGCACTGCCAAAGATGAAGATTTTGTCGCTCCATTGGTGTCGCATCTTAAGCCAATGGTGTTGCACTTCTGTTCTTTGCAGGTCGTCTTTTTCTGATCCCTGACTTGTCCATACTTGTCTCATGGTCCCCATCTTGACCCGCAAGTGAGGTCCCATGAATTTGTCCGAGAGCTATCACTTTCGGCTGTGGACCGGATCTTTATGCCAGGATGGGGGGAATTCGGAACTGCTGTTGCCAGCTGGTGAGTGCGGGAATATCTGTGTGTGGGTATTCTTACCAGACACTGTTTGCTTCCCAGAGCCAAAGGTCTTGAACTATTTGAAGCATACCTTCTGTGGCCAGGAGATGCCATCATGCACCAAGGGGCCGTGGAGTTCTCCATGTTCATCATGATTTCAGGCAGGAGCTGTCTGGCCGTAGCCGAGCTGTCTCCGATCGACATAGCATAGCGGCATAGCCACCCCCCAAAGGGCAGCAGCTGTCTGGAGGCACGGCTGATGTCTATGTCACTGACGCCAAGAATGAAGATCCGCTGGAGCCTCAAGATCCGCCAGGGGGCTTTGAGCAGCGATGTGACATGATGTGACGATGTGGATGCTGACATATGCTGACACTGCTGAGGGCACTGGTAAAAGAACGACTCACAAAGCCGGCGCTGGCCTAAGTAAGCATTGCTGAGCTAGAGGAGGTGGCCCAGGTTGCCCAGGTTGGCCAGGTTGCCCAGGTTGCCCAGGTTGGACGGGTGCCGTCATGGGGCGTGGGGCGCCATAAGGTCAAGGGCATGAGTCGAGTAAGCCATCTCTCAGCTGGAGCCATTTGTGGCCTTCTCAGCCATGCTGCCATGGTGTGGTGATGCTGTGGTGAGTCGTGGTCCAGCGAGTTCCGAGGTGGTGAGTTGGCGATGCTTGGAATCACTCCCACACGCTCAGCCACGATCCTGGCTGCCAGCTTGTGTATCTTGTGGGAGGTCACGCAGGACTGCCATACTTGTGATCCATTAGCTGCTGGTGGTTATGGAGCAGCTTGCGGACGGCAAAAGAAAAGGCAATGGAAGACGGCGTAAAGACATGTAAAGACTTCCAACTCATCCCAAACATGCCATTCCAATCATTCCAGAAGCACATCATGAGCCAAAACCTGGATCAATATATAATGAGCCTAGAAGAAATGCTATAGGACGTTTTTTAGGACTATAGGATACGAGTGGATATCATGGGATATCATTGGATATCGACGGATATCAACGGATATGATTCTTTTGCTTACTTAGCTGCTAAACGTAGGACAAATTTTCGGGAATGATCCACTGGCTAAAATCCAGCAACCCTACGTTTAGCACGCAGGACAAGGCCATGGCCATTTTGGACCGCTATCCACAGGAGCGGGAGCTCTTTGGTGCCGTGGCCTGGCCCGCACCATGGGGCACCAGGCCTTTCAGTGATACCCGGCCTGGTTTTTACATACAAAAAGCGATATAGAAAATGGCCATAGAAATAGTTGATTTACCATGATTTACCCATTAAACATGGTGATTTTCCATAGTTATGTAAACGTTTACCAGAGGGTATTTGTGTTGTCTTTGTCATCTTTGCTCATCTTTGCTCGCCCAACAGAATTTCATAGATTTCGATGATTTTTCGATGATTTCCTGGGGGATCAACTGTTCCATCATGGTGTCCCAATGGGCCAATGGATTATTGGTGGCCCAGGTTATCATTCGAAATCTGGACAGCAGTGTTCCAGCCAGGCGGCAATAGCCTGGTACATTCTTGACACAACTGAATCACTGATGCTTCAAGCACAGAAAGAATGTTCGTGCATAGATCACGCTCATGTGTTGGTCTCAGAAGACCGGTCAGGCTGCTTCAGCTTCCGTTGTTCAAGTCCTTTGATCGAAAATTTCGCATGCTGCTGACGCTTCTTGCCGGCAAATGCCACGGATAGCTTGGCTTGCAGCAGTCCATTTGACCAGACCTTCCCAGGTTGTATTGTGAAAGGCACGCGTTCTTCCCGGATCAGCACATTATCCGAGAGGGCGAGGCTCTGGACAAATTGCAGCTCATGGGATTTGGTCCTCCCCCGCGGCGACAGGTTGGCGACAAATGTTGGATCTTCAACCTGGGACCTGCTGTGCTGCAAAAGCGAGGCTATGCCGTGCTCCGCATGCAAGTGGTTGGACATGGTTGGACGCCAGGGTTCAGCAGGTGATCTTGTGCCGGTGAGTTGGGGCGACTGCAGCCGAGGTCAAAACGTTCTCACCGGGATCCCAGTTTGGCTGTGACCACATGCTTGGGATCAACAGGACCCAGTTTTGCTTTTTGACCTGAAATGATTTGCTGAAAATTTGGATACTGTACTTGTGAAGAGGGCAGATATTTTCTGATGGACCTATCGCTGAGGACCTACTGTGGATCTGTGTTAGCCATGTCCGTTTGCCATATGCTGGCGGTCTCGCGCAGCTCGTATTTGCTGGCTTGGGCCCCCAGAGTTTTCGGCATGCAACGATGTCTCCGAAAAGACCTTGGCCTGGTCTTCCAAGGTAGGATAAATGATACGTATAAAATATATAAATGCCGATAGATGAGCCAAGGAACAAGAACAACAAGTAAATAAATCAACGGACAAGCTTGTGAACAATTAGTAGACAGACAAGAATAACTAACCACAAAAAATAAGAAAATTCATGAGCAATCCCCTCTCTCCCTCTCTCTGTCAAATATATATGCATATATACATATATGCATATATGCATAAATACATATACACATATACACATATATACACACACATATATATATATATATATATACACATATATACATATATATACATATATACAAATATATACATATATACATATATACATATATACATATATACATATATACATATATACATCTATACATCTATACATCTATGCATATACATCTATACATATACATATATACATATACACACAGTTTTTTTTTACACACACACATATAACATATATACACATATATATTTATACGCATACACACAGTTTTTCACACATATATATATATATATAGATACATACATGCATGCATGCATGCATGCATGCATGCATGCATACATACATACATACATATTCACGTCGCTTCGCGACGGCAACCGCCCGCACCGCATCGTTGGGCAGCCGCTCGTAACTGCCAATGATGTCGGCCATTGAGACCAAAAACATCCGAAAGTACTGATTGTCGGAAAAAAAACACGCGAAGAATTTGATAGCCATGTATAGCGGACCAACGCAGTTCAAAAAATAACGAAAAACATGAAAAAACGGCGAAATTGCTGTTATTTACAGTGTTTTTGCGCGGTGAGAAGCAGAAACCACTGCAAATATCATGGTTTTTGAGGGTCAGGTGGCCAAAAACACTGTAATTTACAGTGTTTTTTTAACCAACGTCAAAAAACACTGGTATTTACGATGTTTTCATTCACACCGTAACATAAAACAGCGTAATTTACGAGGTTTTTGGAAGTTTTGAAGCTAGCCGTCAAGCATGCAGAAAACAGAAAAACACTGTAAAAACCAGTGTTTCTGCTAGCACAAAACGACGAAAATCAGTCCGAAAACGGGTCCAAAAACTCAAAAATCCGCCTCCGGGCTCGGCCACCTGCGGAACCGCAAAAAAAGATGTTGCAAACCAAAAAATTGAGGTCAAAAAGTTGAAAAACACGGGATTTTTTCACTTTTCGCTTGCCGATTTTGGACGGGCGCGTTCACGAACAGGTGTCTTCCGTACTGTTTTTTACAGTGTTTTTTGAAGGCGAGCGTCACGACCTATCAAAAACAGGAGGTTTTGGCCGAAAAATGCCTCCCCCCCCCAGGTAAACCTGTAACCTTTTACGAGTGCCATCCGGAAGATCACGCCCCAGCACCTTCGGTGCGGGCGGATTTATACATATACATATATACACACATATAAATATACATATGCATGCGGATATATAAATATAAATATATATATATATATGTTTACATACCATAAAGAGAACGAAAGAGCCTAGAGATGTCTAGAGTCTATGCTGTCAGCTTTCAGCCCAGCGCTTCAGGCCCTGGAACAGTATCCATCGCAGAAAGCCAACCAGCAACTGCTGCGCCAGCAGCGGCAGGAGGCCAAAGACCTGCGACAAGCGATCCAGAGGACGCCCTGGTGGTCCAAGACCCTGATGGTTTGGTTTTGCCTAACAATGGGGGATCGATCCCACACAAATGGCCTTGTTCATGGAGAACATGATGAAGCGGCTTGATTTTGGGGCCATTTTCGAGAGAAATATCTTCAGATTTCAGGGTAAAAAAATGTCAAGATGCTTTCCCGTGGGTTTTCCCCGAAGATCATGATCCATTGATGGCAGGATCACCATCCGCAAAGGAATCTGGCAACGATACCAAGGCTTTGGAGGGTCGCAAGATGTATGGCTATCCGGTGGGAGGTAACCAAGGGGGGGGTGAAGGAGCTATTCGACTACTACCGTAGATGGACGAATTATTCAAACCCTTATACATAGAGCAACCCCCCTCACCCCAAATATCAATGTTATTTTCTTGTTTGGTTCGTTCCTTCGAATGGACGAAATAAATCAAACCCCCAGAGCAGGAACAGAGCTACGAAACCATGACATTGAAATTTAGGGAGGTAGGGGTAGCCTACAACTCATGGATAGGGGTTTGAATAATTTGTCCATCTACTGTAGTTATGGGTATCTTCCGATGCTATATCTCAAAATTGTTTTCATCCGTGTTTCCAGAGATGTTTTCTTCAGGTCATATTCAAAGATCAATACAATTCATCAACTTACAGACTTTCAAAGCCTTCCAGCAACTTTCAAAGCCTTTTTCCAGGCGAGGTTGCCCCCAACAAGAGCAACAACGTCTTCTTTCTGTCGGAGCATGACTTGCTACAGCGCTTCGTGAAAGCCTGGCACGAGACCGCCAAGGGCCTCCACATGGGTCGCTTAGAACGTGTCCGGAGGCGCCAAGAGGTCGAGGACGCGTGGCACAGCGTCGGGGGCTGGGCCGGGGCTGGGTGGTGAAGCGTCATGAAGCGTCTATGTTTGTGTGGAATTCATGTGATTGTAATGTGTGGATGCATCATAGTGTGGTTTGTAAATGTTTGTAATATTATCCAAGATGGATGTGCCTGCATACTTAGATGTACATTTTTTTTCCCCTCTCTCTCTGCATCGATGGAGGGAGGGAGGGAGAGAGAGAGAGAGACCGAGAGAGACATAGAGAGACATAGAGAGACATGGAGAGACATAGAGAGACATGGAGAGACATGGAGAGAGAGAGATAGATGGATGGATGGATATGGATGGAGGGAGGGAGAGAGAGAGCGAGGGAGGGAGGGAGGGAGGGAGGGAGAGATACATGCGGAAGCTTATGCCGGTACCTGACCCATGTTGTGACCATGGCCAATTCAATACAGGATCGTTCGGCTTTCAAGTAAAAAAACATGGAGCGGGCTACTGCGATAAAGCTATCCACAATCTCTTTGGGACAACATGTAAACTATGTAAACTAAGCCCGGACCTCTATGAAAACCAAGATAGGCAAACATGAGTATGAAAGCAGACAATCCGCGACCATGGAAAGGGTTGCAACGATTTTAGTAGTGCTGTTTTTCTATCCATTTCTTTCACGGGGTCGATAGTCACTCCCGTATTCTAGGGATCACACCCTTCCCATCAGTGCCCCTTTTTTTTTGCAAAGCTTTGGACCTTTCCGCGGAGCCAAGGAAATGATTGAGAACTGGAGACTCAAAAACGAAGCAAACTTCAAGAAAGCTGAACACAAGAGACGCGAGCCACTTTGATTTTCCCAAGTGTGTTTTATTTTTGACATGTTTTGACCTCTTTGCATGATAGGATTTCCGGTCAAAAAAGTCTTGAACGCCCTGTGTTCCTGCGAATATTCAGGGTCTACCCATCCGAGGAAGGAGATTCTCCACAGGAACGTCACCGAACGGGGGCCTCTGGAATACTTGGATCCTAAACCTCCATCATTACCTTCACTGCCACGGCTGCCCAAGAAGCAGACCCAGGACTTGTGCCGAAGCGTGAGAAAGTGAACCGCTTAGATATTGACCATATCACCCCCACACACACACACACATATATATATATACGCACACATATATATATACATATATATATACACATATATATATACATACATATAGTTTCCGCTTAGATCGGTGAACAACACTCTGTTTCTTTTTCTTCCTTCTGTACTCATTTTACAAAACCCCAACCAAACTAGAACTCCTTTTAAAGCTCCACATCAACAAGTCCGGTTCAACGCCGTGAAGATCGGTGAATGGGCAACCGAACACAGCGAAGCCAACCTGGTAGGAGTTGGTTTCGATACTGAAGGCCTGGCCATCACCTCGACCATCGCCCCACTACAACTTGTAGCTGGGCAGATATTTGGAGGCTTCACATTTGCAGACCGCATCAGGCTTAAACAAAAACACATATCAAATATATCAATTACATTCAATCAGCAATATCAAAGAATCTGAATTTGTTGAATCACTTCAGCAAGTACTTGTCTTTTCTCAATCCTGCCATATCCAGTGCCGATGGTTTTTTGGTCCTTTTCCAAACTCAGGAAAGTTTGGTCACTCATGGGCCAGGCCATGAGGGGGGGGGACCAACAACCCGAAGGAGGAGATATGAGGCTTTCCATGAATGGGGGGTACCCCAAAATGGATCAAAATGGATGGTTTATAGTGGAAAATCCATCTATAAATAGATGATTTAGGGGTACCCCTATTTTTAGAAACCCTCATATTGTGTCTTGTGTAAACTCCGGCATAAGGCCGTGGGTCGGAATCTTCTGCATAAGATTGGATGCTTCCGGACTTCTGGATCCAAGAAATTGTTTTATCAAGAGATCCTCACAAACTGACATTACATCTGACATTTTTCTCTGGGATTCTATCTGACATATACTCGGACATTATATATGGCATATATTAATATTATATATATACATATTTGACATGCGTTCTCTCTGATTTTTTTCAGGCATTCTATCTGGCATGTAATCTGCCTGACATATATTCTACCTCTCTATCTGTCATTTTTCTGGCAATCTATCTGAGATTTTGTTTGGCATCCTATCTGACATATTATCCGGGACAGTGTTCGGGTCAGGCGGGACCCAGAGACTCTGCGAGCTGGCGATACTACTCGAGGAAAAAAAGGAGAAGAACACGAGCCTAATTACATAAAATCCAGAGACCCTCACCTCGCAGGTGGGGAACGACAAATCCACTGTGCTTCCCTTGGGCCTACGCCCATGAATTTTGGTCAAGAAACATTGCTTTTGAGCAATGGCCATTCCGCGAGGCTCCTGTGTAGGAACATACGTCCATTTCAAGCATGTCTCTGCGAAGCAGGCTTGATCAGAAAGACACGCTTCCCCCAATATATCCTCCAACAAGGCCACAGGCAAAGGATGTTATCTATAGATTATCTACCAAATATTGAATGGCAGTTGGCTCCTTTGGTGGCTGTTGCCCGGTTTCCTACTAGGCTACGACTCCAGCAATCAAATATGGCACTGGATTTTTCTAATGTCTAGATTTTCCCGCTGAAAAATCTCCTTCCCAGGGATTTCCCAATTGCCACGTTTGATTGCTAGATGGGATTCTATTTTGTATCTGTTGAAACATCTCCCACCCCGCACCAGCCGGCAAGGAGCTCACGCAGCCCGTGGGCGATGGCGGTTCCCGGTTGCTGCCCATGCTGGAGGGAGTGAAGAGACGAGGTGGGCCTGAAAGATCCTGAAAGCCTTTTCCCTTGAGAAGCGCTACAGTAATAGTAACTCAATTCTGTTGGTTTGGGGGATTGTACTCGCATTTCTAAAGATTCTAAAGGTCTTGGTTGATATCGATGAGCAACTGGTTTCCGGAGTCAGCTGCCCCAGGCTATGTATATTTTCACTTGGTTGCCGTTTGAATGGCTGTTGCTCCGAAGATTAACTCCTCGAAAACACACCTGACAGGTCCACCAGTAAAGGCTGGGCAAACTGATGCTGAGTCCAGTAGGGCGCTCAGTTCAAGCTGTCACCGAAGTTCTCAAGAAGAGATCTTGGTTGTTGCGGCACCGAGCAGGCATACAGTGTATCCACGGTATACATTTATATAATTATTTTAATTCGGATTTATATGGATTTATATAATTTAGTTCGTTTTCATCAACCTTTGCAGCCCTTACCTCAACATGTTTTCGCGTGGATGGTTCGACTACCAGGCGTTTGTTTTTTCCATGCCAACCAGGTTCCATTGCGCCAGTCACAACTGGATTCTGTATGAGCATGCCAAGGTGGAAGCGATTCAGAAGGTGATGGGGCTGAGGCCAGGAAAATATGCCTGGCAACTTCAGTGGAGAGAATGGGTTCCAGGGTGTTGAGATAGGCACACCGTTGACTCGTGTGATGCATGTAGGATTCATTAGGATTATCTATTTACACACATATATATATATATAAACATATATATATATATATATTATATATTGACATATATATATATATATTTACATATATATATATATATTTACATATATATATATTTACACACACAATATATATATATATATATGTACACATATTTACACATATATACATATATATATATATAATTATATATATATATTGGATTATACACACAAAAATAAGTAAACAAACATATATATATATATATATATGTAGGATATTTCTTGAAATGTCATGCTGGTGAAGCTTAGGGCACTGCCACGAGCTTTTCGCCGTTGGCCAGCTCGAGTCGCGAGAACAAGGCCGCGAGAACAACGTGGGTGTGTCGTGGGTATGAAGCGATTTGTCTTATTTTTTTGACTGGGGGAAATGATGGCAATGTGGTTAATTATTGATTGATTGGCATTGTGATTTGATTGGTTATTACAATACCATTGATTGAATATGATTACAGTAATGTGGGTAAAACAATGCCATAAACCACCCATGACTGGGAATGGTAATCATACTGTGCCACCTATAAAAATGGTGATGACTGGGGAATGGTTTATGACATTGTTTTACCCACATTAAACCAGTGGATTTTGGGGACACAGCCAGATTGTCACACCTCGGACCTCTGCAAGGAAGTGTGGCACAGCTACTGCAGGAGTTGGATCATTGGAGTGAGATTGATTGACATTGATTCCATCAAATCATGTTCGTTTATATTCCAGTATGTAGATCACATAGATTCCAGTATATACAGTAAGAGATGACGCGATGCTATGGGCTTCCGATTCGCCTCAGTTGGCCTGCCACGGCTCCCTGAATCCTTCTGAAGGCCAAACGCCTCAACGAATTGATGGCAGCCACTCAAGCCTCTCGGGCGTCTTTTTTGGGTTAGCGCGGAATCGACCATGGACCAGCCATGGGCTTTTGATGTTTTTTTTCCCCCTCTCCCCCGGATATCTATACTTGTACCCCGAAATGGTACTTTGAATTGGACAGTGATTGTCAATGATAATTAAATGAATTAAACCAGGATTTTCGGGCAAGGGGGTTCGGCGCAGAGTTTCACCACTGGTCGCGCCTTTGGTGCGAATCGCCCGAGCGCGCCGGTTGTTGAGCGCCGAAGGCGCGATGACCATCACCGAGCAACAGGCTTATGATGGAAACATATGGAAACCATTAGATGCAGTGGCGCCATTGCAGCGTGTGCAGTGCTGCACAAAGCAGTTTGTGTTGCGTGTTGGGGTGCATGTGGAATCATGTGGAATGTCATGGCATGATACGAGCATCTTTGCGCGTCTCACATTTAAGACCTGTGAAAGAAGTTGTCTGGAGGGAGGCTTGCATGAAAGGCTCAAAATGCAGCGCCAAGCAGCGGAACGCCAGGCCTGGCAGTGAATCCCAGCCTCAGATGGAATCAAGGCTTTTTGCTGCACTTCTCAAGCCACCCAGCCAGATAGGAAAGACAAATTTGGCGCTGTTTTCCTTGCAATTCGGCATAGTTCTGCAGTTTTTGGAGGGCAAAGCTAGGCATTTCGCCTCTTGAAAACGCTTTGGAGGCCTCATGGAGGGCCATGGTAGGGCTTCCATTTTTCCCGGTGATGCGAGGCTGGCGCAACCCGGATTTTTTGACCATGTTTGTCCCCTATATAGAGGTCAATTAAATAGATGCATCATCGGGGGGGTTCGAACTGTTGAACTGCCCTTTGGATGGTCCTTCAGGGGTGATCCTCTGAGGGGTGTGGCATTTTTTCCCCTCCCAGGACGAAGAAGAACATGGCCGCTGCTAGAAAGTGCCTGGGTCATAAATGGTGCACAACACCATACCCACACATCCCAAAACATCTGAGTTTAAAAAAGGGAGGTTGCCATCTGTCAAAGGGATGGTCCTTTGTTTTTTTTTTGAGGATGTAGTTACGTTCCAAGCGATTTCATTGCTTGATGCTTTTCTCAGCAGCCTCAGAACCTCAGTATTTCAACCATGGTTCAGCCATGCCTAGGAGCATCCGCCCCACGGGCACAACAGCCATGGAGTCGGACGAGGAGGAGGACGAAGTGGGCGAACTCACGGAACTCTTGACGCCCGAAGAGGTTCTCAAAGGCCAGACCATCACCCTGCGTTTGACCTCGGAGCTTTCAGGGAGTTTCATACCACACAAAAAAGCGTGAAGAATATAGATAGTAGATAGATGGTAGATTGATAGATGGTAGATCTGGTAGATAGATGGTAGATAGATAGATAGATAGATAGATCGATAGATCGATAGATCGATAGATCGATAGATCGATAGATCGATAGATCGATAGATCGATAGATCGATAGACCGATAGATCGATAGATCTATCGATCTATCGATAGATCGATAGATCGATAGATCGATAGATCGATAGATCGATAGATCGATAGATAGATAGATAGATAGATCGATAGACCGATAGATCGATAGATCCACAGATAGATGGATAGATGGATAGATGGATAGATGGATAGATGGATAGATGGAAAGATAGATAGATCGATAGATAGATGGATAGATGGATAGATGGATAGATGGATGGATGGATGGATGGATAGATGGATAGATGGAAAGATAGATAGATCGATAGATAGATGGATAGATGGATAGATGGATAGATGGATAGATGGATGGATGGATAGATGGATAGATGGATAGATGGATAGATGGATAGATGGATAGATGGATAGATGGATAGATGGATAGATGGATAGATGGATAGATGGATAGATGAATAGATGAATAGACGGATAGACGGATAGATGGATAGATGGATAGATGGATAGATGGATAGATGGATAGATGGATAGATAGATAGATAGATGGATCGATCGTGAGATGGATTGATGGATGGATGGATGGATGGACGGATGGATGGATGGATGGATGGATGGATGGAGGGATGGACGGACGGACGGATGGATGGATGGATAGATAGATATAGATAGAGATAGATAGAGATAGAGATAGATAGAGATAGATAGAGATAGATTGAGATAGATTGAGATAGATTGAGATAGATTGAGATGGAGCGAGCTATATCGAAATAGATTGATAGAGTAATATAGAGATAGAGATAGAGATAGAGATAGATAGAGGTAGAGATAGAGATAGAGATAGAGATAGATAGAGATAGATATAGACATAGACTTAGACAGACAGACAGACAGACAGGCAGGCAGACAGGCAGGCAGGCAGGCAGGCAGGCAGACAGAGAGAGCCAGACAGGTTTTCCCCTTTCATATCTGTCATGGTCATCGACAGACCCTCCGTGACCCTCCGTGCAGGCTTCTCAAAGCGTCGACTGACATCGTTGTACTCGGAACAACAGGACAGTAGCCGTCGTGGATCCGTGGGCGGCATGTCGACCCTGGCCATCGAAACAGAGCTGGGCAAACTGCAAATGTTGCCGGGCAAAACGGGGGACGCTGATAGCTGGACTGGAGGTTGAAACAAGATGGTTGGGGTGGATACAGTATGGTATATGACCAGAGTTCATAGATATCAGGGTACAAATGTAATTAGTGGTATGTGGGGTGCTGTGCAAGAAGCTCCAGAATCATGGTTTTCAGCTCCTGCAACTCTTTGGCCTGGCCTCCACACTTTGGAGGCTTGGCAGGTTAGGCTTTGAAAAGCATTGGGCACCTGCTGCTGTTGAAACTGTTGAATTGGCTGAAACAAGGCCGCAACAAGTTGAACAATGCTTTTGGGCAAGTTTTGGCGAAGGGGACCCCCGCGCCAGACGCAGCAGAAGGCTTGCTTTAGAGCTGGGTGAACTACACTTTTAAGACCTAAAACAAATAAAGATGCGATTGAGCCACTGCTTGAGGCAGAGGGTTTCGTTGAAGCTGAGGTTCAGTGGTTGCAGCCAAGAACTTCTGGCTGACTTGAGTCATGCGGCTCAAAGCCAGATGGCTGCAGATGGTTTGGTGCTTCAATCGCATTTATGAGGCAAACCGTTTTTTTTTGGATGTGGGCGGGGTAGTCTCTTTATTAATCCATTTAATACCGTCAGAATGGCAAAGCTGGGCAAATTGGGTATGGCATGGTATTCGTTTATAGTTCATCGTTTGGTTTACCCCCAGGATGACAACGCGGCTCTCGCGCCCTCTGAGCCTCTGGTTGCTTGACACTTCCTGAGGTGATTCACGGGAAGGGCGACCACTCAGATGCAATGATGATCGTCCTGCGTGGTTGCGTTGGTGTTTGCGTGGGTGACGAGTGTCTCGTTTCGCATGGGATAGTGACAACAGGATCCCAATGGATCCCAGCTGATTCGTAGGGCCAGTAGGAAATTTAAGCTGGACTGCCTAAAAGCTAGAAATCCCAAGCCAAGTATTTCTCGATTTTCCATGATTTTCCAAAAAAATCATTGACCCAAAAATGCGTTGCAATATTCAGAACCCATAAGAAATACTTTTTTCATAGTCAGGACATGTCAGGACCACTTTTTTCTTCCTTCTGATTCTCTGCTGAGGTGTATCATGCAACTTCGGACTCTTGGCCCAATTTGATGGCCTCATGTGGAAAAACCCTTGATGAACCAAAAAAAAGGGGTACAGTACCCAAGTTTGACAGACAAACAAATCGATCATTGGTGCTTTGATGTGCTTTGCACCCATTGATTTGGATGAGCCATTCAGCGAAGCATCATTGGGGCCACTTTGGAACTTTCATGTGGGTTTGTCTGAACATGGGGCACCTCCAATGAAACATGTTAGGATGATTGATGATCAGAATCATATTTCCAGTAATTAAACCAAAAGGCAATCAATTCCAGCAGCATTTTCAGACAAAGCCATATAGCATATTGTTCCAATTATATCCCGATATCATGGTGGCTTTACACCCCAAATCCCTGTGTTTGTTAGTTAAATCTCACTTCCCATAAATCCTCATCTTTTCAACAGGAGGTACTGTACCGTCCAAGACCATGTGTTGGTAGGATATTCCCTCACAGAGGCCTTACATAGACCTTACACATGTCAGGTACCTCCAATTGAAGTTCCTTGAAAGTTGACCTTTCATGGTTGTATGACAATTTTGGATGGCGGGTATATATATAGCATTTTTGGGGAAATCCAGGTGATATTCCGATAAAAAATCACCATAAAAGGCCGGGTTTTACCCAGGAAGGGCGACCATCTGGGTGAGACTCTGTTCCTAGCAGTGGAAGATTACTGGTCGGTGCAGCTGGTTGCTCAGGACCTTTGTGCCCCGGAGCAAGAGTTTAGGTGACACACACACACACTACACAGATAGATAGATCGATAGATGGATGGATGGATAGATAGATAGATTGATAGTTGGATGGATGGATAGATTGATTGATAGATTGATAGATTGATAGATTGATAGATAGATAAAAACATAGATAGATAGATAGATAGATACATACATACATACATACATACATACATACATACATACATACAATAGGTACATAGACACATAGATACACACACACACATATATATATATTCTGTACAGATATAGATGTAGATACATGATGTAATGTGCAATATATCATATATCTATCTAATCTAGTCCAGTCTAGTCTAATCCTGATCTGATCTAATCCAACCCATACATGGTATACAAGATAGATGGAGAGATGGATGAATAGATGCTTCCATGGCTGGCTGGCTGGCTGGTAGTGGCGAGGTAGTTCGAAGATAGACAAATCATTTTTGGGCCAGAGGCCCGGTGCAACTAAAGACACCCAATTTCTGTTGCTCAGTGTGAGGCAAAACCAGCGGCAGAATTTGCAGTCACCTAAGAAAACAAATATGCAGATGATGCACATATACCAATGCAATATAGGTACACAATCATGAGCTTGCTCAAACCCGTGTCTGAAGGTATATACGTGCTTTTCTGCATGGTTTGGTGTTTGAACACAGTCATGCGTGCCTCGAACCGGTTCTTAGTTGATTTGACATGGAGTGCTCCTCACCAAGCCCCTTCCTGTTTGGGTTCTCCACACGTGGCTGTCAGCCTCAGCCTCTTCTTGTCTGGAGGCACCACTCTTTTTTGGGGCACTAATGATGACATCTTTCAAACGCTGATGCTTTGCATTGAATGAGTGGCTTCCTGATCTTTGCTTGGACTGGCTTAGCCCTTTGTCATTTAAATGGATTGATGTAAGGCAACCCTTGCCCCACAGTTTTCCCCTAAACTTTCTTTCGGCACTTCTCGGATGTTTGGGTGTGATAGGCCCAGATTTTTAAGGTATGGTCTGCGAAATCAGCCGTGACGACCTGATGACGGTGCTGAAGGAACATCCTGCAGACAAAGAGCTGCTGAACCCGCAGCTAAGACCGCAGCTAAGGACTCACGGCCTCAGGACTTTGCATTTGTTTGTGTCTCCCCGAAATCGGAAGGCTGCAAGTAAGACCAAAACCCGAACCGGAAATCTCCAGAGTTGGTCATCTTGGCATCAAGGGCCCAAAAAATCTTCAGTGCCCAATGTTAACACATGTCCAGCTTCAAAAAGTTCACAGGCCATTCACATCCAAAACGATGCTCTACCATGGCCTACCATTGGTCTACCGTTTTTTTTTTCCCACGTCAAACTAGCTGGTAGTTGTGGATGTTCACTTTGACAGTATTCAGAACATGGTGTTGCCCCACCCCGAAAGAGGACCACAACTTTTGACCAATCTCCTTTTTGGATGTTCATCCCTCAGAACTTGGTATTTATTGGATGGCAAAGAGATGCATACCCGCAAGGTGCTGGCCAATCCCCCCATTTCCTTCCCCAAAGGTATTTATCACAGCCACCGCACGTGCATCTCCTCACGTCCGAGCGGATGCTTCAGATGCCTCTGTTTGCAGGTCTATCGGAAGCTGCTTGGGAGGCCGGAGATATTAACCTGTGGTAAGCCTAATATGAGCCAAAGTCAAATAAGTCAGATCAAAACTGAGCTTTTGCCAAAATCAGAATTTTAGAGTATTGTAAATTTCAAAGATACTCCATTTGCAAAGTTTGCCCTTGCCCGATCCGTGCAGCCTGTCGCACCGGGATCTCCCTGAGGCCTTTCGCGATGGCATGCTGCGACGGATCTTCTTCCCTGGAGAACAACTTCTTTCGCCGCTGGCCAAGAACAACGACCTGGTCCTTCTGGCCCGTGGCGCCGTCAGCATTGACATTGCAGGCGGGGTCAAGGTCAGAAACGAGAGGCCGCAGTCAAGGAAGTGAGGGATTTGGGGGATGATGCGTCCAGATGATGAACGTCGTTCCTTTTTCCCGTTGTTTCGTTCCTGTGGCTATCCAGGTGCTGCATCTGCTAGTGTTCCTTTGCTGGTCTCTTTTCCTGTGCGTGGTATGTCGTGAAACTTGAACCCCCCTGTTCCCACACAGAGCTTCCAAAACGCGGCAACCATTTGCCTCAGGGCATGTGCCCAGTGGGATAAGTGTTTTTTTTTGGTGACAGGTCGCACCATCCGTGTAGAGCGGCGAGGGGAATCCTTACGTGGACTTTCTCAGAGGGAAGGCATGGAAATGGATATGATCAGCCCAGACGACGCACTACATCCTGCTGTCGCTAGCCTTCAGTGTACATTTTGGATCATTTTGCCGTTTGCCCTTGTTCTTTTTTGTTAGGGTTAAGGTGTGAGTCAAAACATTTCAATTCCAGGGACTGCGGAAAATAGATGGTCTAAAGTCGTCCTACTATGGCCTGAGAATTGCCGATGGTAGGCGGCCCATTGGATTGCCCCAAAGTTTGACCCTAAATCCACCCGGTGCAGAGGTAGGTAGATGGGTTTGTCTGAACATAGGATACCCCTAAATCCACTGGTTTATCATAACTATGGACTATGGATATCAAGATAACATCATCTTTTGGACGCAGCCAGATGATGCTGATAACTCTAAAAAGATCAAACAAGGTCTTTGGTGATGTCGAGTTCCTGGGGCTCAACGAGGAGAGGGTCTCAAGCATCAAGGCGGATGCTGAAGCTTGGCATTGAAACATTCGCCATGTTGGACGATGATTTGCATATTGCATATCTTACTGTAGATTCTGGTAGAGTACTGATGTGGTTTTGACAATATGTATCTAGTAATGAATTCATGTAGGCGTAAACCAATGCTTTGAGGACACGATGACATCTGCATGCTGCATTTTTAGGACCACTGGATCAGAGCCTGGTGAGAACAGGTGCCAAAGCAATGAGGGCTACCAAATGTTGATGTTTCAAGTGTTGGGTTTCAACGGATTGAAGGCATGCCCATGGCCCCATGGCCGTAGCCATCAGGAATGCCACTGCTGGCTCCTTTCTCGTAGCACCTTGACCAAAGCCTTCAACGCACCCGAAACCGACAGCCTCTTGTGGGACCTGGGCCGCCTCGTCACCGAGCCGGGTTCGGCACTGAGTACTGAGTGAGGCGAGTCAGGGAGGGGTGGAGATTCATGGAGTGATGGTCGGAGTCGCCCAGAGCGCCCAGAGCGCCCAGAGCGCCCAGAGCGCCCAGGAAGAGTGGCATTTGCCAAGCTTCGCGTCCTGAACATTTTCGATGAAGCAGGGTGCAGAGCCTCATCAGCACTCGGCACGGCTGATGGGGAGTTGCGGTGACATGCAGTGCTAAGGTCAAGAATTCTTGCAGTACCTCCAGGATCACTTTGAACCTCGAATCTATTTGCAAGGTGCGAGGCTGCTGTCGGCCGTTGACTCGCAAAAAGTAGAAGCACATATTACTTGGTGTCCTTGCATTGAAGATTTGCTCATTTCTGAAGATTGAAGTTGATTATGGGTTCTTTGATCCTTTGAGTGACTAGCATGAAGCAGAAACTATCAGAAACTTGTGACCCCCAGCCAGGAAAAACCATTTGTGACTTCGAATTGCCTGCTGGAACTCGTGTGATGCATATCGTGACCAATGGTGTCGCTTCCACCTTGTCGGAAGACGAGCCTCGTCAGGATAGGTTTGTCACACTCTCGGACGACAAGGCGTAGCAAAAAAGTTAGCTTCACCAACTTAAGCATTTCCCACATATTTCATAATTTTATATAATTTTATACGAAGTCATGGTTTTTAAATCAAATCAAACCAGTGAATGCCAGTTGGATCAATTGGAAATAGCATGGCAAGCTCGATTGTCAACCCATGTCAACATATATCAACCAGTTGTATCATGTTAAAACAGGCAACTGGCTCGAACCAGCCACATATTACGTGTTAAGATCACGCAGTCCCAGAATTGGTTAAAGGAATCCATCAATTGATCATCAGATTTGCCTGTAAAATCTCATTTTTTCCTGGCCCAATGGTACGTCCACCATGTTTGATGGTAAAAACACCATGCCTATATATATAATAAGCATGATAAATATAAGTATAAGTAGAAATATAAACATATCTTTATATAATCCCCGGAAAATGCAAATGACATTAATGAAGTCCATGATTGTCAAATTCACCCAGCAAAATCACACCAAAATCAGGAGAGGCTTCGCACTTTGTCGGCCAACACGACCTTCGGCATGATGGCTGCTTTGGGCATCCCACCGCGCCCGGAGCGGGTCAAAAAGGCACCATGGGCCCATGGGGATTGATGATAATTTTTGTTGGGTTTTAGCTGTTTAACAGGGACTGGACATGACTAAACCAACAGGGGACACTGACATCAGTCTGTGCAGTCTGTCAGGGCGCAATGAAAAGACATGTGGTTTTTACCCAATGGTCCACCATCGCAGATTTTTGCAGATATGTGTGGTATCAACTCAAGAAGAAACGATCTTCTTGGGGCGTGGTTTTCAGGCAGGTGCTGACTGGAGAAACGACACTGATGATCCCGAATAGATGAAAAATAGAGGCATAGTTTTGAAGGGTGTTTAAAGCACCAGCTTACCACCAGTTTCGTTCTTTTGCTTTATTCCATACCTGGCCCACCTAGCTTATCGCAGTTAACAAAGAGCTTCTCCTAGAATCTCCCATTTATGTATTCCTTTTCATTAGTTTCATCATGTTTCATCCGCATTTTCCGCATTTTGCATCGCTTCTTACCGGTGCTTAGTAGGAACTAGGGGGATATTGACCCATCATATTTCACAATTAACAATCACTATTAATTAACATTTATTAACAGTATTAACATTAAATAACTAATAACTATTAAGATCTATTAATAATTATCCCATTCCCTCATTCCCTGCGTTTAGCACCAGTAAGATGTTGTCCCAGCGCCGGTAGGTCCTGGCGGTGGAGCATAGCAGCTGTCAGCTGCTGCATCAGGCGGTGGTGGTGCGGGCGCTGGAGCTCTTCCCGGATCAGCGGATGAAGGCAGTGACGTTTGGTGACGGTGACTGATGGTATGAGATGGTGGGGAAGTTCCCAAGATCAACATGTGAGATGTTGCACGATGTTGCTGTACGTGCTACATATATATTATATACATATATGATACATATATGTATGTATGCAATTGTATGTATATATTGATGTAGACGCATATCGCAGTTTATATTTAGACATGCTGAACATCTTCTGGTTATGTCGTCACGCAACTTACACTTTGCAATGTGCAAGCCGACGTTGCGTCCACGCAGGTGCTCATGCTGTCCAATGGCGGTCAGGCACGGGGGTTCCCCATGTGCATTGTTCTGCTACCGTCTCCAGGGATTCTTGAGGGATCTTAAGGGTGTTTCTATGTATTTGTGCAGCGTTTCTTCACCGTGGATGATGAGAATTCCTGAAAAAAACCAACAACAAATCCCTTGCCCTTCATATTCCAACCCAGGCAAAAGTCCCTTTGAGTTATATCATTTTCATATAGAGTAGGAAAGAATTCTATCACCATGAATCACCATGTGCGTTTAAAATCATTTAATCATCACTTCCATCCTTTGGCAGGAGACAGATGCGCAAGACTTGATTGGCCGCATCCAGCTGCTTGTCCAAGTGGAAATTGTTTTTCTTTTTTTTTTTTTTGGGTAGCCAACTTTCAGACAGAGTCATTTTCACTCTATGTCATTTATATATATATAATGAAATGCAATGTAAGGTAAATGTAATGCAAATGTCATGTAATGCAATGATAATGATAATGAACATGATATTGCAATGTCCTCATGTCATGGAATGCAATGATATGCAATGTATGCAATGTATGTAAGTTTATGTAAAATTATGTAAATACATGTGTATGCTTGTCCGAATACTTGCCTAAACGAATGTGCAATGCATGCATTTTCTGTCATGTATATAGATATTTAATTATCTCTATTATAATGTACATATAGCCACGATACGAAAACCATGGTAGTTTGACCGCCCCACTGCTCACAAGTCGCTCTGACATTTTCACGACCTTCGCAAAGGGAATCGCCATTTTTCTGCAATACGCACCCCGACTTCGTCCGAGAGTTGGCAAACTCTGCGGTGGACCGTATTTTCATGCCGGGTGATCTGGTGGTGAACGAAGGCAGGAGACGCAACACATGTTTGACGAATCCATCCGCGCAGCACAGTGATTCCGTACGGATGGATCAAAGACAGACTGGCAGACAGAAAACAGATAGATGGATTAGACTAGCTTAGATTACATTGGACTAGATTAGATACGATAACAGTGGATTAGATAATTATATAGACATGTTCTGAGATGCAAATGGCTTTTGGTATATTTTTGCATGCTTCTGTGTTGTTATTGAAAAGGGATTGCGGGTTTCCCTTTTCAATTTGTTTGGGAACCAGTGAGATGCACATAGCGACGGTTGCTTCCTCGATTGCATCTGTTGATGTGAGGCGAGAGTGGCAATTCCATGTTCGTTTTGCTCAATGGCTCTGCAGATGTGTACGTGTTTTGCCTAACAGCTATGTACAATGGAAAAAGGGCAGGCCGAGTTTTCTTGACTTCTGTTGGCAGGCATTTGCTGGCAGAAAGAGAGAAGAGAGAGAGAGAGAGAGAGCCATTTTGCACTTCTTTGGTCACAGAATGAGTTCAATATCGGGGAAGCATAGTAGCAAGACCTTGGTCGGAAACGGGTCAATTGCACCTTGTGATGACCAGCAATAATCACAAGAACATGGCTCTAAGGTCAGTGACAAAAAAAATCAGGATAAAGGCCATGACAAGATGCTCGGCGAGGATGCGGCTGCATGCAGCCGGGTTCTTCAAACGGAGGGGGACGATAGTTTCCAATAGTCCACTGTTCAATCAGTTCAATCGCCTAGTTTGGCAGGGGAGACCTTTGCATTTGGGGTTTTCCATGTCAATAAACATATAGAAAAATATAAAAACCTAGGCCACCTAACCATTGGCAGGCTTTCTCTGCGACTTTCGAGGACACCTTGGATTGGCGATGTCTTCATCCCATGCCATCAGCTTTTCCCAGACCATTTCAAGTGAATACATCCTGCCGTTGATGTTCATTTCGTAATTCGGATGATCATGGATGATCATGGATGATCAACTAATCCCAGAATTGGTCTATAAATATCTATAATGGAAAATCTACAGGAGCCCCTGTAATTACCCCAAAAAAAGAAACATGGTCTGTCCAAAGTTTCCAAAAAGTCTGATTTTCCGATTTCCCGTTTGTTTCAACTAAGGAAAGCCGAAGCGAAGAAGATCAAAAATATGATCCGCGTGGGACATTTGGCCGCTGGAGCCATCGCAGGTGAGTTGGCCATGCTGGGAATCTCTCAGACCAGATCTGTGTCTCGGAGATCCCATCAGATCCCCAGTTCTGGTGCCA